CGTATGTGTCGTACTTTTAATGAATTTTCAACTAAGTGTCCTCAAATTGATATCTTCAACTCACGTCTAAACAACTTTAAAAGCATTTTGCAATCGGCCATCGGGTCTCTTTGACATGTCCATATTCTTTATGTGTTTTTATCGTTTGCATGTGCTTCGCTGTTTTTTGCCAATTTCATGTGCTTTCATTGTATAGCTTTGTAATTTGACATTGTATACCGACTGCTTTGACCATGCTGTGCGTACACGAGTCTGGGTCTCAATCTGGTTCGGTCTATTGTCTTTGTATAATGTCTATCATGTTATTGATTGTGGCCTGTTGTGTGTGCCTTTAATAAATAAATAAAAAATAAAATAAATATTACTGGGCACGGGCTGCATAGTTTGTATGGCTCTCAGCTCCTCAGGGAAGCTATCCTTTTGAGCTCCTTGAAATAACATCTTTTCGGCTTGTATGATGTCTCTTGCATGTAGCTGGGAGGGCGATGTGATGCTGCCATCTAAAAATAATTTAGAATTTAAAATTATTGGTCGAGACACTTTAAGCCGAAAAAGTCGTGCGCCTTGGAGAACACGGGCAGTGGTGCGTAGTAAACGTAGCCACGAGCTGAATCGCGTAGCGTTAGGTACGGGAAGGTCAGGTAGTGGGACATAGGAGAGCAGCCCCACAAGTTCTGATTTTAATTCGGAATCTAGTAAGGTCTCATCCTCGTCTCTGGTAATTTCACACGGCCAAGAGAATGGTGATTCTAAAAGAAATGGTGGGCCAGTAAACCACCTATGAGAAGGAGACAAAAATATTTTCTTTGGTTTAGTAGCATCATCGGCTACGTTGAGAGACGTAGGAATCCATCTCCAATTAGACGGATTGGTGGTTTCCAGTATCTCTCCCAAACTATGAGCAACGAAAGGTTTAAATGTGCGAGCGTCGCTTCGGATCCATTTAAGAACGGTAGTAGAGTCTGTCCAATAAATAGTTGCGGAGGGTTTAAGACGGTGAGCGCGTAAAATAGTTTGTGCGAATCGAGAAGCAATAAGCGCCGCTTGTAGCTCCAGGCGGGGAATAGAGAGCGGTTTCAATGGTGCAACTCGAGCTTTGCTACCTATAAGAGCCGTAGAGACGAAGCCATCATTGTAATTGAAACGCCAGTAAGCTACGCAGGCGTATGCTTGTTCACCACCATCAGCCACTATGTGTAGCTGAATATCCATTGGATCTGATTTAAACATATACCAACGCGGAATTTTAATGCTAGCGGCACTCTGTAATTGAGTGAACCATTCTGTACATTCAGAAACATATTTATTAGGTACTGGGGTATCCCAGTCGATGCCTTCTCGCCATAACTTCTGGAACAAAATACGGCCCGAAATTATAATAGGCGTTAGTAGGCCAAGTGGGTCATAAACTTTCATAACGCTGGATAGTAGGCTACGTTTAGTTAAAATATCAGGCATATGAAGTCCTGTACGAAAGCTGAACGAGTCGTGGAATGGATTCCATTTAACGCCTAGAATACCAACATCATTGTTTGGTGGTAAGTATACGTCTGAGGTTGCTTCACTTCTGAGTTCTTTGGGGACAAGAGAGAGAGCTTGTGAATTATTCGAAGTCCATGCTCGCATTTCGAAACCGCATGCTTTATGCACCATAATTATGTCAGATGCCACCTGCGCGGCATCAGTGACACTAGGGTGGCTACCCAGGTAATCGTCCATATAGTGATCTTCAACTATAGCTTTGCATGCTGCAGGATATCTAGCTTCCGCTATCTTTGCATTTTTATTCTTAATGTAAAGTGCAATGAATGGGCTACACACTACGCCGAATATCATAGCTTTCATGCGGTACCCAACGAGAATACCGTTTTTGTTACGCCACAAGAAGCGTTGGGCGTCTCTGTCTTTTTTAGCGATTTTTATTTGAGGGAACATTTCTTTAATGTCGGCATTTAGGGCCACAGCGCCCTCTCTGAAACGAAATAAAATGTCTAATAAAGAACCTAATAAATCGGGTCCCTGTAGGAGTAGGCTGTTGAGGCTTACACCTTTTGTCTTTGCTGCCGCATCATGCACCACTCGTAGCTTCTTTTTTTGGGGTGAAATACTCCGAAGGTGGGCAGGTACCAACGAATAGTATCGTCCGGGTTAACACATGAAACGTTCGATGGCATTCGTTTATAATACGTATTTGGGTCGCATTCTTCGACGTACCCTTTAGTAACAATGCCATTTATGAAGTCATGGTAAGCTGCGACAAATGATTGGTCTTTAGACATTTGTCGTTCCAGAGCTCTGAAGCGAGATAATGCCTGTGGGTATCTATCAGGTATGATAGTTGGTAAGTCTTTTTTCCAAGGTAAACCGACTTCGTAATGGTTGTCGTCAAGTTGACGAGCCGACGTTTCGATGATATCTATCGCTCGTTTATCATCACTGTTGAAACGTGAAACGCTTTTCATTATACCTAAAGAATCAATTTCGTACTGCTTTCTTATAAGAGAGTCTAGGTGGTCACAGATATGGTTGACAAATTCTATCGGCTGAGATGAAACCGACAGTGCGCCGTGAGCACCCAGCCCAATAGTGTTTTAGAGGCAACAGGTTCATTCTTCTTTCCGCATCTTACCTCGCGGCTTACAGATAGGTACCAGTCGGGCGCTCCAATAAGAACAGTTGGGTTGGTATCAGTGTAGGAAAGTTCATTAGATAGGTCTGATAAGTGCTGGTACTTCATAAAGTTGATTATGTTTTCTTTCCGGACGCGCAGACTTAATGGGCTAATTGCGCGTGCATGCTCGTCTAAGTAGCGGTCGGGTAAGTTACGCCCACGTATGTAGAAGTTCACGTAACCAACATCTACATCTTTTGACATGCCGCTAACACCTTCAATACGAAGACGCTCTTGACGGGTGGGCTTGGCGCCGATACGCATCGCTACCTTGTCGTCAATTAGTGTCGCCGTACTACCTTCATCGAGTAGCGCCGTGGTTTCATATTCGCCTTACTATTCTCCCTAGGGGCCAGAGGCCACGAGGGAGAGTAGAGTCCGCGATAAGCATCACATCACCCTCACATACTTTTAACGCCTCTTTGTTCGATCCTCTTGGTTGGAGCGTGGGTAAATATTCACGCAGCCATCGTGCCCAGAAATGGTCGGCAAGACGCAGCACTCTTTTCCAGTCACATCTTCGTACCAAGTCGGTATCTGTTAACGAGCATGTCCATGGTTCTGTTGATGAAGTACCCAGTATGAAATGGAATGGCGTTAGTGCTTCTGGTGCGTGTGGTGATGATGGGACGTACGTGAGCGGTCTCGCATTAACGATGGCTTCTGCTTCGAGTAAAAGTGTTGTTAAGGTTTCTTCCTTTAATATTTTACCGTTTAGACAGGCTCTCAGGGCGGTTTTGACAGTACGTATCAGCCTCTCCCAGGCATCCGACTCGAAGGACCAAATATTACGGAGCGGTGGACTGTGATGAGGTGATGAAATGATGTAGACACGGAATTTAGTAGCGAAATATATGTATTGAACAGCGAGCAAGGAACAATAAATCAATATGTCAAAAAAATATAAAATTACAAATAATAAGAATATTCCAAAAGTAAATATATATAAAAAAGTACAATAACGTCTAAAGAGTTTGCATCGGCCGGTCGCCAATAATGGATAAAACCATGTTACGCCGACCCCAAATGATTGGGATAAGGGTAGGAAGATGAAGATGATGATATATATATATATATATATATATACATATATATATTACAAAGACTGAGGACACAGATAAAGATAATAGTTAATAAATTAAATATAATATTAATCGTGTAACTTATCTACAATATATAAATAAATATTCGTAAATTAATACTTGTAAATAAATAAATTAAAAATAATGTATATTAAACATGTAAGTAGCCTACAATGGAAAACATAGACAACAAGTCAAATTAATTACAATAAAGACGGTAAACCGGCTTCCTGCCACATTGGCGAGAATCTATATACTAACAAGCTGTCTCCTGCAGATTCACTTGCATGAATCAGTATATATAATATTCAAGTCACCAGGGTTCCGCGGAATCTATAACAGTGAAGCAATTTCATTCACCACATTGAAAGTAAAATAAAGAATATAATTTTTCACTCTTTTTTCAAAAATTTTCTAATAAAAGTTTTGATCTTATTTAAGTCTTTGATTGTAATAATTTGATATGGATTTCCATAAAATAAAAAGTATTTGATGGATGTTCCGTTATGTTAGAAGTTCAGGAACCCCTCTTCTAGGGTACGAAAATCGGAGGAAAACAACGTTTGCGATATCAGCTAGTAAAATTAAAAAAAAAATACTCACCAGCTATCAAGATTCTTGTAACATATTAATTGACTTAAAGATTTATTTTTACCAGAGGGAAACTTTGTACAAAAGTCGATTGCTTGGGTACCTCTGTCCCATTCGTGTTTCAGCCATGAAGCAGTTGTGTTTGCATGGCTGTGTTTCGGTTTGAAGGGTGAGATATGGCGTGAATTTACAGGGTACAGAGGAATAACTTCTGAGTCCTCAGGAATGGCAACGCATGGGGGATATCATAGGCGAAACAGTATACTCTGTTATGTCCATGGTATTGGTAGGCGACGGTTACCACTTTTCATCAAGTGGGCCGTCAGCTTGTTTGTCATTCTAAGTTGTGTAAAAAAAAATTTCTACCGACTCCAAAAGGGAGGTTCTCGATTGATTACTTACAGATTAGTGTTAGTCCCATAGAAATTTCATCAAAATCAGTTCAGTAATTTAGTTTGTAATCAAAATAACCGGTTTAGTCACAACTGACGTCTATTTTTTTTTGTATAACACAGTCTTAAATTACCTACAAGAAGATTTACAAGAAATTTTTGTGAACAAGAATATATTTTTAAAAATATGAATAATTAAAAAAGTAATAGGGTGTTGTTGCTGAAATAAAAAAAATTCGAAATGTATTTTTTTTTTCTTTGCAGAACTCTACGAAATTAGTCCATACGCGCAGTTCGCAGTTGGTTTCCGGACCTTCGGCCATGTTGAAAACCAAGACATGCCCAGTCGACTCAATAAGCACAGATATGACACGGGTAATATAAGTTTAGTACAAGCTCTTCTTTTTATCTTGCTTTAGTATGTTACTTAAACGAAATTTACAATAAATTTTGTAATCACTTGTTGGTGTCCGATTATGCGGAATTTTGAAAAACTTGTGTTAATTCGGTAACAATACAAAATTATGATAGGTACTATGTACGAGATGATGACGGAAGTTGGCCATAGGAATTTGTAAACTATCCTTGTGTTTGACTATATGTTATTTAACATACCCGTACTTCAATATCTTTATTAAAATTTTGATTTTGACATAAATTGATGTTTTTTTTTTAATGAGTGATAATGAAATGGTAACTCCGCCTGGGTTATCAGTATATGCTGGCGGGGCACCAGTGAGGGATGATAGGTGACGATAAAAGCAGATTAGTTAGCTCATCGTGACCAATTCCTCTAGAAATAACCACAATGGTTTTCAGGGGGAACCACGTGGAGGTCGACCTGATAGGGTGTATTGCTAACAATCCCTTTCCCCCCTAAATTGATGTTAGCCACGCTTTCCTAATAAGACGTCCAAACATGTGTTGACACCTGCCTATTGCAAGTAATTTTTTTTCTGGTAAGAGCGAAAATTTAGCCTTTGTTTTCTTTCAGTCCAAACATGTGTTGACACCTGCCTATTGCAAGTAATTTTTTTTTCTGGTAAGAGCGAAAATTTAGCCTTTGTTTTTCTTTCAGAAACGAGCTTCCAGGTGTGTTCAGAGTCTGAAGATAGCGATAGTATATCTAAATCCACATTGAAAAGTGTGCCGCGAAGTAAGTTATCAAATATGTTCTTCTCTCTATCGCAGGTAGCAAGGTGACGTCTGTGACTCAAATATGACATCAGTTTTAAATTTTTTTTTTAAGTCAGTAACTGAAAATCAACGTCAATATGACAAATAATTGCTACCTAAGCATATTATTGTTAGCTAACTAGATATTATTTCAACCTAGATAATTATAAAGAATGATCCTAAACAAATGGCAGATTAGAACAAGTAATAACATGGAAATCATACTAATCGCCTAGTCCTCAAAATAGGACACCCTGTATTATGCGCGACAAGGCAAGAAACAACCCAAAACACCCAGAGATACGAGTCAACTTAAAGCAAATGAATATTTGTAGAATCTATAATGTGAACGTTTATTAATACAGTAATTCTTAAAAGTATAAATACAAGTACAGAAGGAGAACAATAGAAAATATAAAAAAGGTATAATATTAAGACGATATGTATGTGCCGTGGCGCCGACTACAACATTCTTTGCATAATACGCATGCGCGGCCTGCGCGCGCATAGGTACTACAAACAAGCTGCGTGCGCGACCGACCGTATTACATATATATATATATATATATTATTTACGCTTGTATGTATGTAGTAGCTATGTATGCTACAAACTCATGAAAGTTCATTTTCTAAATTGGCCCGACCGAGAATCGAACCCTGAATTGTCAAACTTATTTATAAAAAGTTATTTGTATTGTTAACACAAGCAGAAAGTACAACAAGTAAGTATATAATTTATTTGTGCTACTTACAACATAGAAATCACACACGAACACAGACTTATCTAAAATAATAATAAAACAGATTTATTTCTCTTCACAATTCATTACAGTGAAATACAATGCTTATATTAAACAAATTATAAATATAATTGTGAGGGACTGGTGCCTGAGATAGGTATAGGAATACCTGTATTACAGCTCACCAGGGCCCCACTCCGCAGGGTTACTTACTAAGCACTTGTAATACAATAAAAGAATCTATGTTGCACGAAAAGAGAGAAAAAAAATACATAAAAAAAGTAACATAGTTTGTTTTTCGTGTGTGTGCCACAGTAACATAAAATGAGCAAAATTCAGTTAATTGCGTTGCCCACAAAAGGGCATATTTTAACTTAATTTATATATTATCTTGTATATAAAATTCGCGTGTCGCGGTGTTTGTTACCAAACTCCTCTGAAACGGCTTTACCGATTTTTATGAAATTTTGTGTGCATATTGGGTAGGTCTGAGAATCGGCCAACATCTATTTTTCATACCCGTCAATGATAAGGGTGACCCTCCCGAATTTTTTTTTTTTGACAAATTTTCCCATTTTTATTTTATTATGATTTAGCATTGAAAAATACATACAACTTTAAATTTTCATCGTTTTACAATCAACCCCTGTATTTTAATCGCTATTTTTATATTTTGCAATAAGTGGTAAAACAACGTTTACGGGGTCAGCTAGTATATTTATATAAATAAAATAATGTAATACTCATATGAATTTTAAACTATTTCTTTTTCTTTCCAGAATCGTGCAGAACACCACACCATAGGTAACTAAACAAGGACATATTGTCGTTTTAAGTGAAAACATAATTCTAGGTTTTTGGACCATGTTTTTGTGTTATCGCCTCCCTTTGCAAAACACTAGCTAGGTAGAGTTGTGGTAAAATCTTTCGTACTAACGCCATCTGCCGGGTAAATTTTTTTTTTTAACGAGATAAAAACGATCGTGTCTCTCAAACGAACGATACACATTTACAAAATTTCATTAAAATCGACTGAGCTGTTTCTGAGATTAGCGTGTACGACATGAGATTTCTATATATAATATGAGTATTAAGAATATAAAAAAAAAATCTACTTAACACATTGGGGTCGATTCTGAAGCGCTATTTCTCTAATCTCTAAATTGAAAATTTTAATTTGATATCGCAATAAAATCTTTATTCTAAGAACCAATATGAACTAAAATTGTAATAAATTTAGAATCCAAAAAAAAAGAAATTTCGCGAAACTATCAAATTAATACTATTAATTATTGTAACGCATGTGGGCGAGGTATCATGGGCGAAACAGTATACTCTGTTATGTCCATGATATTGTTCATGTCTATAAGCAAGCAACGGACACCATTTTCCATCAGGTGGGCCGTAAATTTGTTTGCCATTCTAGGTTACATAAAAAAATAAAATATTAATTTAAAGAAATGGCCTCGACCCCAACATTATAATCTAAAAAGTATATGTTGAATGGTTACTTTTTGAATTTTTATGTAATTTGTTTAAAAATAACAATTTTTATTGTGTTAATTGTTAAAGATTTTACCTATTTGTTATTTGTTATACTTACACATAAGAATTTACATTCGGTTCCCACTGCTTACACCGCAAGGGATCCGACTCGAATATATTCCAATTTTTAGTTTAAATATTAAAAATAACATTCATATTTCAATTAATAATTAAAAAGAGAGAACGTAACTCCTTCGAGTTTCGCATCCAGTGTGTTTGTATTGACGTTGTCAACTGCTAACTGTAGAAAGTAACTTTTTAAAATCTTTCTTCTCTTTCTATATGTAAACCTATAATTCTAACACATATGTTACAACATTAAGACATTATTTGCCTTCTTGATATATCCATTTATCAAACACATTTTGTTTATTTTATTTTTTTAACTTCCATAAGGAGTGAGACACCCTAATGATTACATTGGTTATCCAATACAAACCATCGTTAATTTGTTAATATTATATTAAACTGAAAAACAATTTAAAACAAATATAACATTTTTATTTTCTAAAAAGATATTTAGAAATTATATCTTTTTAATTTTTTTACACAGACAGGTGTAATGTACGAATGTAAGTTTTAAATATTTATTTTGTAAAATTGTTTATTCCAATTGTAAATAATTCAATCTAATAACCTAATATACCATATTATAGTTGTATAACGTTTTTGTGTGAAACATGAAATCGATATGTATGGAAAATGTATGGATATTTTGTAAAATGCAGCAGCTGAAATATATCTAAAAAAAGACTGATTACTCATCTTAACGATTGTTACTCTATTGATTTAGGAATAAAATGAAATAAATGTTAGATAAATTAAACAAATCTTTTATTTCTTCATTACTTTATTCTTTATTTGTTTTATTGTCACAATATGGCAAGTATTACAGTCGTTTCGTATCGTATCTATTAATACAAAACAAAAATGCTTTCTTTACATAATAGGAACAAAACTCTTTATTTATTTAAATATCTCCAAAGGCTTTACCTCTTATTCATTAAATTTAAAATCTTCTACAAACCTATTTTAACTATTACACTGTCTTATCACTGTCTTTAGTCATTAGTCAATTAATTAAAAAAACAATGTACATTGTGTCAAGGGATAAACATACAAAAATCATTACATTGACTTGAATATTACAACCATCCAATAACTATAATAATAACAATAAATTATAATAAATAAATTTTGCAATAAACAGTGTCAACTTCATCGTAATATTATATATATATATATATATATATATATATATATATATATATATATATATATATATATATATATATGTCAAATTCATTTTTAATTATTTACATTAATCTTTTAAATTAAGAATTTAGTACAAAAGAAAGAGAGAAAACAGTTCAATAGCTAAAATAGATAAATGAAGATTTGACGCTTTTTAATTTGAAATTAAACTTAACTTAAACTTAACACATTGAGCTAAAATGTAGGTAATTTTTAAATGATAGAGGTTCAAATTTCATACATACATTCTGCCTCTATGTCAGCGTCAAATGTTTAAAAATAATATCATGTGTGTAATATCACTTGTATTTAAAATAGACGAATAAACACGGTGGAGATGAGAATCTCCTCCTTTCACTAATCAGTTGTAGCTACCAATATAAGGATAAATATGAATTATTAAAATTTTTAACCACCACCTTTAATCTAATTGACCCAAGTTACATAGTTATCAATCACAATATTTTAATCACCTGGCTCTCTAGACAAGCGGCAAGCGAATTCGTCGATGTAATCCACATCGCTAGCTTATACGTGTATTAGAATAAGTCACCCGGGGTCATTGCACTCACGGACTCGCTAACCATTCTGATATATCTATAAATATTATATTCTATAAATATTACATTTTATATAAGAAATATATTATATTTATAATAATATGTATATATAATAAGTTTACTACTGTAATCTTATGGAGGAAACTAAAAATTTTTCTATATCATTTCTGGGATACATTGTGATATGTGAATGATTCGTTTGATAATCTAAAAATATGATATAAAATGAAGCCGCCACATATTGAAACATTATAACAATAAACCTTTAACTAACTACATGATCAGCACCATGGACATCATAGAATACACCTAGGGCGTAAAAATTGTACCATACATAAACCATAATAGGATTCGCGTAGCGTAATCGGCCGAGTTCAATAGGCCTCTCGTATTAAGGGTGTAATATTAACGCACTGGTACATTTATTTCGGCGGGTTATACATAACCTAAAAAATACTTACCAAAGAAACATAACCTATAAAAATACTGCAAAAAATATAATATTTTCTAATCTAGAGAAAGATGCTCAGACGCAATGCTCACACTAATATAATTTTTTTATTTTTTATTTTTATTGACACATAAAACAGATTACAACCATAAGAAACTTAAGTAATAATTACATTTGTGATTCGGCTAGGTTATAATCCGATTATATTATGTGCACAGCTTGAGTAATTCATTAAAAGCAAACACATAATATAAAAAGAAATAATGAAAATGTTATATAAATATATAAAAGATAAAACTATATATATATAAAAAAACATATTTTCAATCGTGTTCTACATAATAGAAATCAAGTTCTTCCTAAATATCAAATATTTTGCACCGAATATGTCGATGGATTTATGGTCGAGCAGTAAGTCATTATAATGACGACACATTCTTACCACAGGATTGTAATAAGAGGTGTTATTTTTGTAGACTTACAATGTAAACAATTTATGAGTGGGATTACGTGCTTTGTACCTCGTATTAAAATTTAAATTAAGCAGTAGAGATGGAGAATCTATAACGTTATGGATGATTTTGTACAGATATAGTATGTCACTACGCTGACGACGCCTCTCTAAAGATGTAATATGAAAGTGTTCAAGCTTGTTTTCATAAGAGCTCAGTTTGCGAAGCAAGCCCGTTCGAAACGCAAGTATATTAAGGCATTTTCGCTCAACACTCTCAATACGATCACAATGTACTTTATAAAATGGAGACCAGATAACCGAGCCATACTCTAGAATACTTCTCACCAGTGATTGATATAGAGAAAGAAAACTGCTAGGATTTTTTAAATTTTTAGTTAATCTAGTAATAAATCCCAGCAGTTGGTTGCTTCTGTTTATAATACATTCATAGTGTGGTTTAAAAGAAAGTTGGTCGTCAAAAATAATACCCAGATCATTAGCGACATTTCTGCGTTCTAGTATTTGTCCATTAATAGTGTAATTATAAATTAATTTTTGTGATCTGCGAGTGAAAGACAACACAAAACATTTACGTACATTTAGACCCATTAAATTATTAATGCACCACTCGGATATTGTATCTAAATCGTATTGAAGCAATTGTGAATCATTGAAATCTCTTATAGTACAAAAAACCTTTAAATCATCGGCATATAATAGCGATGGACACCTTAGTTTTTCTACGAGGTCATTAATGAAGATAATAAATAAGAGAGGATCAATATGAGAACCTTGAGAATTCCTGAGGTTACAGGAACAGGTGAGGATAAGTGTTCATTGAGCGTAACTAATTGGCTTCTGTTAGCGAGGTATGACTCGAACCATCGAAGAAGACTACCATGAATACCGAAGTGTCTAAGTTTATTACAGAGAGTCAAATGGTGAACCCTGTCAAATGCCTTGGAGAAGTCCGTGTAGATAGAGTCAACTTGAGTTCGGGTAGCAAATGCTCTACAAAGGAAATCTTTATATTCAAGGAGATTGCTTATTGTAGACTTTTTTGGTATAAAACCGTGCTGGTTAGGTGTTATAAATTGTGAGACGTGATAGTAGAGTTCATCGTAAATTAGACTTTCAAATAGTTTGGCAAAGCTACACAATTTACTAATCGGTCTATAATTCTCACACATAGTAATATCACTAGACTTGTGAATCGGTACAATGTGTGCAATTTTCCAACAAGTAGGAAAAGTACCAGATTCTAATGATTTATTAAAAATAATACAAAGGGGTACAGCAAGTTCTTTAAAGCAGAAGATAATGAAGAAAGGTGGTATGCGGTCTGGTCCAGCTCCCTTGTTGGGATCTAGTTTTTTTATTGTACTCCTTATATCAGATTCAGTGAAAGAAATTATGTGAATTGGGTAGTTCGGTACAGTAGCTTTATAAGAGTTCGAGTTCGTTACGCTATAAGGATTGACAAATACAGAGCTGAAATAACTGGAAAATAATTCACTAGCTTCATTATAATTAGTAGATGTAGAACCGTTAAATTTAAGTGTAGGCGGTACGGCATAATAAGATTTTCTATTATGAACATATCTCCAAAAGTGCTTGACATCAGACATAAGAGATTCCTTTACTGATGATAAATAGTTCTTATGACACTCATTAATAAGTCTTTTGCATCGAGTTCTAAGAAGAGCGAAAGTATCATAGTCCCGGGGATTGCCAAATTTTTTATATCGTTTATGGTACTTATGCTTTTCAGACAGACACTTCCTTAACGAGCGACTAAACCAACAAGGGTACGAATGTGAACCAACTACTGTTAACGGTATATGTTTACTTATTAAATTTTCAAGTATTTTATAAAATGTCTCAGTTGCACTATTAACGTCTGCATATGACAGTACATTTGACCATTCGATGCACCCAAGCTCAGCTCTAATTTTTTCATAGTTACCTTTACGGAAATTCGGACGCTGGCATATTTTAGATTTGGGGTGATTGAAACTATTTGAAGTGTGTATATCTATACAAAGACAGGGATGGTGTTCATCGATTCGAATAAGAGGACTCGCTGCATAAACCTGTAGGGTTGGCAAATTAGAAAGTACAAGATCCAAGTAACGGTTGTTTTTATTTAGTATATTATTGAATTGGTTTAGGCCACACAAAGATATAACATCAATAAGAAGGCTAGCTTTACGATCTTGGGGATCACTCGGTGTCATTGCCGCGTAATTAGGTGATCCAGACCATAAGATACCAGGCGTATTAAAATCACCAATACACAAAAAATCACTCAATTCGTTAGAGCGTAACATTATATTCTGAATGTTATTATAAAATTCTTGCAACATTGTTGTTATTAAGTCAGGAGGTAAATAGCACAGACATAAATTTATCACCTTATTTTTTGAATTATTAGGAAAAATACTTAACCACAAATCCTCGACTCCACTTTCCCAACAAACCTGACGGACACATCTGAGATTCTTTTTTACTGCAATTGTGATTCCACCCCCTTCAGTTTTATTGATAAGAGTTGTGGAACGATCTCTGCGAAAGACATTGTACCGAGTATCGAGAAATTCAGCATCAAATACAGAGCTATTCAGATTAGTCTCCGTCAAGCAGATAACATCATAATTAGAATTTAAAATATTAATATACAATTCGTCCAGCTTAGATCTAATCCTATTGACATTTTGGTAGTATACAAACATAGATATTTAAAATAAGCAATAAAACAGAGTTACAATATGCTAATATGACAAAAAAAAAAATAAAAATAAAAAATACAAAAGTTTATAAAAAATAACGATATAATAATTATAGAATAAACGTGGAGGAGTGACCGAATTACAACCTGGCCAATGAATCCTCGTTTTTAATCGAAATACAGTTTGAGTTGTCGTCTTTACGCACATAAATGCGACCGTATTTCACCCAGACATACTTATATTTCTATTCTAGTTTTAGTATGCAGAGACTTGCATTCAGGCGACAGGTGTTCAGCGATATATATTCTACGTGTCTCACCAGAAACTCCTAAGTGAGTAGAGCTAAGCGCCTCATTTGCGTTGGTCTTATTAAATCGTGATACCGAGGATAGTATGATGTCTCGCAGGCGGGGTGTGGAGAGGGTTAATAATATATTTCTCGGGCGATTCGATGATGAGCTAATCTTAGCGACCCTTCGACAAGCAACAATACTCGACTCAATGAGCGGAACTTTTATTGTGTCGCATAAGTTTTTCGCAATATTTAAAACGTTTTCGTTTGGGGATTCAGGGACACACTGAAGCTCAACATTATGGCTGCGTGAAATCCTTTCCATAACTGAAACTCGGCCGCCCAGAATGCGTATTTCATTTTTTTTATTTTAAATTATCAGTCTCCAGCGCTTTAATAACACTATATTTTTCTTCTAGTTGAATTTTCAAAGTATTATGCTCCTTATTTACAAACTCAAAAGAAGTATTAAAGTCACATTTCAACTCTTGTACTACGGTTTTCATTTCAGATCTGACCATTTTGTTTACATCATCCCTTAGTGCGGCACGAAAATCATTCATGAAACTCGATAAGGAAGATTGCAACTTGCTATCAAGAAGGTCACTAATTTTCTTCATTGTGACGGATTCTGATTGAATTATAGTGGGGTCAGATGATTCGGCTAGGGAATTTGAATATGTAGTGCTATTACGCTCAAAATTATCCAGAGACATGTTCATAGAAATGTCTGGAGATGGTACGTGATGCTGCCTAACGGGTGTGTTTGAATTAGATTTCTTACGTCGAGAAACATTACTGCATGAAGGGCACAACCAAGAAGTCAAATAGTCAAGACTCAGTGACAAAAAATGATCTTTGTTTATATTGAGACACTGGTGGTGGTATTTACCTTTGCACTGATGACATTGCATAAGACTGTCTCTTGTAATTTTCGTGTTACATGCATTGCAAATCATTATGAGATATTTACAAAAAAAAAATGTAAATAAATATATACGCAATGTTCTCTATCAAAGACCTCCGTGCAATATCTTAATTATGATATCTTTCAGCCAACCGCCCAAGCCGCAACTTTATGCGTAAACGCAATATGACGTAAACAATCAATCCAGGATGACGCTGTATATATTTCTAATAATGTTCACAGTTATTTATATACTGTATATATATTGAAATGAGACTCGGCAACAAGGAGCAAGCACACACAGTTGCAATCCGGTCACTATTAACAACTTTCAACACATTTTAATGTTGAATAAAATTTTATTTATTTGGTTCACTACCCTACACATTTGAAATGACACTGCACTTACACTAGATATCTAAGTTTTCACTCAATTCGAGTTTACAGTCACTGTTTTATAATTCCTTTTACCATATTATTTGTAATTCCTTTTATTTATAACTGACAAGTCTTGATATGTGTATTTGTTGAAATTAAGTAGTTACTAACAATAATTTTCAGTTTTATATTTTCCCTCTTAAAGAATAAAAAAAAAAAAAATACTACAATACTACATAATTGTGTACTAAACTATGTTGTTTCATTTGTGATTTCAAGAAGTATGTAATTGGTAGATGGCACACGTTTCGTCAATAAACAGTAAACTTGACTAGACCCAAGTCGCCCACTCCTGGTATGTGCTAATATAGCACATACCAGGCTGCGTGCTAATATAGCACTGTATATACTGATTTATACAGGTGAAGCCGTGAAACACAGCTAATACTATTCTGGCAGTCGTGTTAATTGATGTATACAAATGAATGTACACATATAATCGTTTTTGGTATTATTTTTTGGTATTATTAAAAATCTAAATATATAAACATGACGTATCATATTTAAAGAAGTTTGGTATAGATTATATATTATTAGCATTTATAATATCGCTCCAATATCTATACATTGTATTCCTCTGGACTTTGGTGTTGGAAAAAACAATAAACGTAAAGTCTGTTAATCATTATTATTTTTTGAATAACAGACTTTTAACGTATTCGTCATTGGACCAGTATATACATATTATAACTATTTGTAGATAAATTTCAAATATTAATACCTAAAATCCAGATCAATCCTGACTAGAGATTCCTGACTCAATACAATCTTTACTGCATGTAATTAATATTATATTTAGATAAAAACATATCATAAAGTATAGGAACATAACGCAATGACATATTTTTGCATGTAAATTGTACCTATATACCTAATTTTTATTGCCGGCGACGGTTCGCCGTGGATTGCATCACGTCGTGGTCACGATTGAACCAAATTTTACCTCTTTACATGCAAAAATTTTTCATCACTAATTCCCAATAGTGTATTTAAATTAAAGCGAAGTTTAAGAATAACATGTCATAGTCGTAGACAATAATGTGCGTCGTCCGTTACTTTAAATTTAATCTCAATTCGGTAACTATTAGTAAATTATTAATTGGAATGAAAAATAGTCTTTAATGAAATGTTAAATGTGGTAATTGTCGTCAGTAACCCATCAGTTTCTAATTTATAGTTTATTATTTCATTATTATGCAAAATTAACGCTAGTTCAATATACTAGAGGGAATTGCGTGTAAAACGTAATATAGTGCATTTCAACAAGTATCTACCATTTTCGTCTAAATTCGTCTAAATTTTAAATTTCCAAGTGTTATGAGTTATAGATGTATTTAATTTTAAATCATCATCATAGCAGCCATTTTCCATCCACTGCTCAGCATAACCTGCTCCATGGACTGCCATAAGGAACAGTTCTGAGCCACCTGTATCCACTGACTCTCTGCGATGCATTTGAAGTGGTCACTCCAACTAGTATGGGTCATCCTAGACTGCGTTTGCTTGTACGGAACCCTCGAGAACCTACCTTCCTTCCCAGTCAGTTGTCAGTTCTTCGAGCTACGTTAAAATTTAAATGTTCCTTTGAAATTAAAATTTTTGATAGACACCAAAACAACACGTGAACATAATACTATTTTTTACTATAGAGAAATAACAATAAGATTTATTTTATTTACTTATTTTTTAACCTAAAACCTATTTTGAGTATAAGTACTTATTTATGAAACAAAAAAACCAGCCTTAAAATGGAATAAATTTGGCCTTAGAAATAAATTAATAAATAAACACTAATACAGGAGGACTTTATCGCCTGATCGATATGATCATGATATTATAAAATATATAAGTTGATGAAATATAAATATGTTTCTGAAAATAATAAATTAAATATTATTTATATACGTACTTATAAATAATATTTAATTTATTATTTAATCCATCAATTGATGGCAAATCAATTACTTTCAAATACAAAATCAAGTGTTTACTTTATATCAATACTATTGCTTACCTCCTGTATTATTGTACGTACTGTTTTTTTTTTTTTCATTTTTATAAAAACTTAAATAATTGAACTATATTTAAAATTAAACCTTTAATTTAAGCTTAAGATTAATCTTATGCTACCATCATAATAACCATTGCGAATCGCCTCAATCCACTCCAGATGATTTTCTACACTAATGTAAAGACCGGGAAAGCCTTCTGTCCCACAACGGCTGTAACCAGTGTTGATCACTCCGCGTAGTTCGACTCTCTCCCTTATCCACAGCAAAGGCCCCCCGGAATCCCCTCTGCAAGTATCCATACCGTTTACGCCACCAGCGCAGATGATGTCATCGGGTAAATTTATACGAGAGTACACCCTTCTGCAGTCATCGAGTGAGCAGAATGGGAGTGGTATCATCTTTTTGGTATCGCTGTATAGGTTGGAACTGATCATTTCCCCCCAACCAGTGGCAATGAAGATGGCGTTTTGGTTTATTGGACCGGTGGGCAAGCAGACTGGACGAATGAAATCTAGGGAAAAGGTATAAAAATTTGAATTAGTAGTTTTATTTTAATTTGTAAAATTGGATACAGAGATCGCCCTAGCGACAAGACCGCTTTTTGTATCTTCATGTATATATTTTAATCTGTATTTTATGCTACTGTATTTCACTTGAATTTACTAATTGTTATTGTATATATATTTATGTTTTTGGTGCAATAAAGAATTAAATAAATAAATGCAGTAGAAAATATTGATTTGAATAAAGTAGACAAAAATTTGCCATTTTAATGGTTCATTCAGCCAGGAGCTTAACACAAAGGGTATTATTGGTCCTAAACCACGCAGATTTAGCAGAGGGAGACTTTGTACAAAAGTCGATTGCTTGGGTACCTCTGTCCCATTCATGTTTCTACCGTGAAGCAGTTGTGTTTGCATGGCTGTGTTTCGGTTTGAAGGGTGGGATATGGTAGTTAATTTACAGGGTACAGAGGAATAATCAACTGAGTCCATAGGAATGGCAACGCATGGGAGGTATCATGGACGAAACAGTATGCTCCGTTATGTCCATGGTACTGCTCATGTCTATAGGCGACGGTTACCACTTTCCATCAGGTGGGCCGTCAGCTTGTTTGCCATTCTAAGTTGTATAAAAAAAAAAAGATAAATTCACGGGATATTACTGTATCTTCTATCTGTAAACCATAATCTAAACTTTTAAAGGATAAATTTAATTTTTGTTGGTAAAGTCCAAAAATACTTATCCAATTTTAAAAATTCTTTCACCTTTTGAAAGCTGCAGTATTAGCGAATAATATAAAGTGCATTTTACTTAAAAAAAAAACACTTGCGCAACCGAAGCTAGTCACTAGTCAAGTAACACTTAATAGCTTACACTACCTGTATACGGTGCCCGATATTTCAATTTAAGTATCGCTATATCGCTGCCATACTCGTGGTTTTTGTATCCACCAGGAACTATCACTTCCTCCACCTCTATCTTGACTACAGGATCGGCGCATACGCTAAACATACAGTCCTTACTTTTCGATACATCGTATTCACCGAAACGGGCTACTAACCTGTTGAAGAAAATAATTTTTGCATGACTATCTAATGACAGTTATGTTTTTTGGACATCGTCATTAGATAGATAGATAGATAATTTATTTGCATCACTTACAGCACACAAACAGCAAAAGATACGAAAGCAAAGTGAAAAAAGATAAAAAAAAAACATACACGTACAAAAGATTAAAAAAAAAAATACCAAAAACAAAATCAGAATGCATAAAATTAGTAAAAAATTTTTATTCTTCATGCGTGTGCCACTGTAATACAAAATGGCCACAACTCAGCCCAAAAAAAGAGCAAAACACTGATATTCTATTGTGGCCAAAAGTGAGCCGCGAAATACCACTAAAAAAAAAAAATAAAAAAAAAGAAAGAAATATAGATTAAATACATAGTGTGCGTTCGTTGTATTCGCTACATATATTACTTTATTACGTTATATTCATTACATCATATCAGCCATGAAATGTCCACTGCTGAACATAGTTTTTGCCAGTAGTTGCCACGCTGGCAAGCGGGTTGGCAACCGCAGTTAGACTTTGAATTAATAAATAAAAACTCTCTATTGTTTCCTTCAAAGAATGATACAGATTATAACTAGATTATTAGCTTGGATGATGTTTAAAGTGTGACGCTGCTGGCCATTCCTTGACCATTAAGTTCCCTTAATCGCCTCTTACTACACAAACAGAAAAAGAAGGGGTGGCCCATTCTATGCCGGGACCACACAACGATCTAATATATATCTAATATATAAAATTCTCATGTCGCGGTGTTTGTTACCAAACTCCTCCGAAACGGCTTTACCGATTTTCATGAAATTTTGTGTGCATATTGGGTAGGTCTGAGAATCGGCCAACATCTATTTTTCATACCCGTCAATGATAAGTGTGGCCCTCCTCAAAATATTTTTTTTTATTTTTTTGACAAATTTTTCCATTTTTATTTCATTATGATTTAGCATTGAATAATACATACAACTTTAAATTTTCATCGTTTCACGATTAATCCCTGTATTTTAATTGCCATTTTTATATTTCGCAATAAGTGGTAAAACAACGCTTACAGAGTCAGCTACTATATATAGGATGAATCGTACTGAATAACCATGACGACACCCAGTAAGAGTATTTATGGAACTGAAAATCCTTCACAATCGACTAGATTTAGTTCACAATATCCTATATTACAATTATAGAGAAATTAGACTGCAGAAGTCATCATATAAGCTATTAACTGGCAGACCGGTTGACAACCGCATTCAGGCTGTGTTTAAAATGAACGTTTTTACATAGTAGTGTAGTTTTTTATAAAAAAGAAAATTTATAAACAATTGGAATAGAACAAAACAAAATATACATGCAATACATCAAGTCAATATACGGCAATGTTATTTACAATTAATATAATATAATAAATAAATAATAATAATAATACAACCTCGTGAAAGCCGAAACCGAGAAGAAGAGAAAATATCTCGACCTGGCTCACGAGGTGACCGAAATGTGGGGGGTGACATCCACCGAAATCATTCCAATCATTATGTCGGTAAACGGTCTTATCCCAACCAGTCTGGATCAACCTTCACAATCGACTAGATTTAGTTCACAATATCCTATATTACAATTATAGAGAAATTAGACTGCAGAAGTCATCATATAAGCTATTAACTGGCAGACCGGTTGACAACCGCATTCAGACTGTGTTTAAAATGAACGTTTTTACATAGTAGTGTAGTTTTTTATAAAAAAGAAAATTTATAAACAATTGGAATAGAACAAAACAAAATATACATGCAATACATCAAGTCAATATACGGCAATGTTATTTCCAATTAATATAATATAATAAATAAATAATAATAATAATACAACCACGTGAAAGCCGAAACCGAGAAGAAGAGAAAATATCTCGACCTGGCTAACGAGGTGACCGAAATGTGGGGGGTGACATCTACCGAAATCATTCCAATCATTATGTCGGTAAACGGTCTTATCCCAACCAGTCTGGAACAACATCTCAGACGGTTGGGATTCCGAGGCGGCTCACTCCCGGGAAAGATGCAGAAAGCGGTGCTCTTAGATTCTGCTCGCATTGTACGCCGGTTTCTCTCTCTGGGGCCCTGAACCCCGGCCGACTGTGCTTCTGCCGGGGGTTAGTTGCCATCTCCTCTCCTTAAGAGGGGAGATGAGAATATTGGTAAAATAAAAAAAAAATAATACAACAAGAACCAGCATATATTACAAACACTGTGAATGTGAGGTTTTGCGATGTGATGTGAGGGACACTACTGCTCATCCCTCTACCATTATGTTCCATTAGTCACTCCTTACGACACACACACGAGAAAGGAAGTTTATTCGAGTAGTAGTAGTAGATTCTACGCCGTAAACACACGGCAGACTGCAGTACTTACTTGGATGTATAGTGTTTCACACAATGTGCTGCTGTGACGACGTGCCACATATCAATGAGGGTACCAGCACATCGAATGTCGATCATATCGCTTTGGTCGTGGAACTCCAGGAAAACCAACCATGGATTCCTGTGGATAAGGTTCGAACTTGCTTCCACGCCACACTTTTTATCTGCAACAATTGAAAAATGCCACAAATTAATTCATTATGTAAATAACTATTTAAATAATCAAAGCAAATAAATATTTCATTTTCATTTTTTAACGTGTGACAGAGTCGCTAAAATCCCCGTGAGGATTTTTTCTTTTAATTTATATATTATATTATTGTTAGAAATGAAACTTATTTAAATTAATAAATACGGAGGGGAATACCAGAGAAAACAAAATAGTACAACTGTGCACCGTTCTGAATCATAACTGTATTTAGGTTTAAAGAAATTATTTACTTATAAAAAATAAAATTCAAATAAAATCATATAGAATAATGTAATTACTCCTCTCCATCCAAAGGTTGCCTGCAAGAGATCGCTCTTAGCGATAAGGCCGCCCATTGTTTCCTTAATGTATTTTTTTTCTTGTAATTGTTTGTATTTATAATAAGTCTACTATTAGAATCTTATGGAGGGTACGATAAAGAGTATCTCTCTGTCTCTTCTCTTTTCATTTAAGAGTTTCCTCTTGTCGCTGCAACTAATTCTAATCTCTCTGTCTAAGTGTAGAAAATTTAAAACTCAATTAAAATGAGATACAGATAGTGCTGTTTCTGTATACGTATTCTTTTATCTCTTTTCCTGCGCATGTGTATCTGTCTGTCCGTAATTAATATAAATAAATTATTTATCCTATAACCATAAAATATTTATTTTTTCTAATTGACCACATTCACTTCTGAGGACTCGGGTGTTATTCCTCTGTACCCAGTAAATTCACGCCATATCCCACCCTTCAAACAGAAACACAGCCATGCAAACACAACTGCTTTACGGTAGAAACACGAATGGGACAGAGGCGCTCAAGCAATTTCACGGTAAACCCCCAGACACTTATGGCAAAGATTGGTTATCCTTAATATGTGATAGGCTTCATTTCATATCTGTCGGTAAACATATCCCGGTCGCGCGGACGAAGTCGCGAGTAAAAGCTAGCTCTTTATATTGCCCGAAATGAGTCATATCAGTCGGACATAAATTTTAATATAGTTGAATACAATGACAGCGGGTTTAAAACGGATAGGTTAGGATGTGATACTATGACGCAATACACACTTGTATCGGCTTGTAACGTGCTTCTTTGAATAAATCTAATAATAATAATAGGTGTGAATTATTTACGCATTTTATCATCATCATCATCACCTTTGATCACTATCGTTACTTTACCAGTATTGCAACGCATTATCCTGTATGCACACAGGATACTCTACACACTCGTATCGGGTGCTCATAATTTGTAAAAAAAAAAAAATTAAAAAAGCATTTTTCCAATCTTTTTTTTTTTAATTTTTATTGCAGAAAGCATTTGAAATTATAGAAAAAAAATATTTTCAAAAATATTTCGAAAAAAAAATTTTATAACCTATTTTCAGAAATTGAATGCGAAATTGCATCACATGCAAAATTTAGGATATTTTAATTTTGTCTTCATTTGGTCTCAGCATTGTTACAATGATAAGATTTAATATTAAAATTACTGTCTATTTATACATAGTATACAATCGTTTTAAAGGAAACACAGCATGCTAATTAACAAATAAACAATAATATGACATAACAAACTTCTGAGGTATTTGATATATTTAGTTTTTTTAGATTCAATAAATGATTGCTTCACATAAATTTTAACTATTTAAATTAACTGCAATGCTCTCCTATAGAAATCCCCTTCCATATCGAAGTGAATATCCAAGTGTTGCTTGCATTTATTCAACAGCTTGCAAAGACGTGGCACAGTGAAGTTGGCACCAAGAACAGTCCTACGGAACGGCACGGACATTAGACTGATGTAACTACGGGGATAGTGTACGGGCAATCGGGAATGAAATTTAACAAGTAGCTGCGAACAGTCAATTCTGTTCCTAAACAACTTGTGTAAGAACATTAAATCTATTAATGTTCTACGCTTATTAAGTGATACCATATTGAAATAGATAAGCCTGTCCTTGTAGCCACCAAAATCTTAGATTGTCGAGCCGAAAAAGGCAAATGCCAGAGAAACTTTTTTTTAATACGCTCTAATCTTAAAATATGGGTTAAATAATGTGGTCGCCAAACTATCGAACCGTACACCAAGACGCTTCGAACTAATGAATAATATAATTTTATTTTAGTTTTTGGATTTACAAATTCCTTGGCATTGCGAATTACAATACCCAAAGCTCTTGATGCCTTTGCCATTACCAGCTCTATATGTAGTAAATATGTTAATTTACTGTCTAGGAGTATACCCAGATCTCTTATAGTGCTCACTTCACTTAAAGTTTTCCATAGATGTAATAATATTTGATGTTAGTAATGATTTAAAAACTCTAGTATTGAACCGATTTTAATATTATTTCTATGGAACCAGTTTGAAAAAATACACATTCAGATAAAAAAAAATATAAATCGATTTATAAATGCCGGAATTTTAATTGATTAACTAAGGTAACAAACATAAAAATGAGAAATTAAAGCTGGATGGACGGTCAGTTAAAACATTCTTCTCTTAAAACATCACCAAAGTCTATTTGCAGTTGTCAACCCGATTGCCAAGCATGGCACCTACTGGAAAAACCCCCCAATAAGGAAATTATATTCACTATATATATTCACTAGTATACTTATCAATCTTAACGCATTGTTTCCTGTTTGTTAAATAATCACTAAGTAGAGCCAAAGGTATACCCCTTATACCGATCCGTTCCATTTCTTGTACAAGAATGGGGGCAGAGACAGTATCAAATGCCTTTTTTAGATCTAAGAATACCGTGAGATATTTATTTCCTTTATCTAGTTGGTCTACTATTAAAGTTATTAAAGCTGTTACAGCATCCTCCGTAGATATATTTTCTCTAAAACCAAACTGACAGTCCGATATGATATTGTATTTATTAAGATAGCTAATAATTCGTTTATTAATAATATTTTCTATGATTTTTGAAAAAGCTGTTAATACAGATATAGGTCTATAATTGTTAACGTCATCTCTGTCACCACTCTTGTACACAGGTGTTACAATAGCTTTTTTAAGAGATACAGGAAAAATACCTTTCCCAAAACAAAGATTAATTAGATGAGTTATAACTGGTACGTCCTTGGCCAGTTTTAGAAATGCTGTAGGGATTGCATCCCAAACGTAAGCACTTGAAGATTTCGAATTCGAAAAGAAAAAATCGACCGACAACTCACGCAGTCTACAAATTAGTGCAGGAGGCTTATAAAATGGAGAAAAAATGTTTATTATTTTTTTTTTATACAACTTAGAATGGCAAACAAGCTGACTAGTCTACTAGACTAGACTAGTAGAAGAGTATACTGGTTCGCCCATGACACCCCTCATGTGTTGCCATTCCTGAGGACTCAGGTGTTATTCCTCTGTACCCAGTAAATTCACGCCATATCCCACCCTTCAAACCGAAACACAGCCATGCAAACACAACTGCTGCACGGTTGAAACACGAATGAGACAGAGGTACCCAAGCAATCGACTTTTGTACAAAGTCTCCCTCTGGTGGTTTCGATCGTACTTGACTAACCGTGTCCACTTTGTCTAAATCGAACACTGGAATGTTTCGACGGGCGAAATTGAAAGTATATGTTCAAACAGGTGTATTACTAACAACTCCATACCACAAGGTACTGTACTAGGGTGCCTTCTATTCATTTCCTATATGAATGACTTACCAACATATCTAAAACCTCTATGTGTACTATTCGCAGATGATTCTTTTCAAATGTCTCGATAATAATGAAAGCCACGATGAAATTGTAAATACTTTTCAAAAAGTAAAAAGTCGCTTACAGGAACATAACTTGCGTATTAATATAAAGAAGACTAAAATAATTCAAATAAAACCAGCGGTGGTCTTATATTCATATAATATAAGCACATAAGGGGCATCCATTAATTACGTGAACTCAGAATAGGGGGGAGGGGTCTAATGAATTCTCACCAAATCTCATTTAAACCGAGGGGATAATCAAAAGTCTCACGTCAACTTCAAAAAATATAAAATATTAAAGATATTACTAAAATATTAAAGATAAACGTAGACTTTTCCAGTGATTGTCTTCCTGCACTACTAGAAATCCCAGATGATATGTGTCCAATTATTTCGATTGAAAAAATACACGAATCTCCACTGATTGAGTAAAAATTTAAAAGAAAGTGTTGTTTTTATGTTTTTACTTTGAATTTTATTTAATTTAAATAAATTAATTATAGTTTACCTGAACGATTTATTATTTTCCCGAATAATAAATATAAATTAAGGTTAAAATATTTTTTGCGTCAATCTCACGTAAGGGGAGGGGGAGGAGTCTAAACTGATCGAAAAAGAGCTTACGTAATTAATGGATGCCCCCTAATTAGACTAATATATACATATAATAAATACATACATAAATAAATACATACATAAATAAATACATAAAATATTACTATGCAAAACAATTAATTGTAATACAAGAGCAAATAACAATCTATGACCAGCGGCGGCCTTAGGGGATGGCGAACAGGGCAATCACCCGGACCTCGTTCTTACAGTGGCCTCGCGTAAAAACCCAAGCAAATTTTAAACAACCAGTGAGTGGCATTTTCTAGTGGTTAGTTGCAAGAACTTCTCATATATAAAATAAAGACAGAACAATTATTTCATACTAAACTAAAAAATATTTAATAGCAAATTGTTTTCACTCAGTTTTCTACTTTTTAGCCAGATGAAATACAAAAATGCATGGCATGGCGCCACGGTTCAAATCACACATGACTTACAAATAATTAATCAGATTGATATAAATATTATATACCTAAATAACTAGACTGACTTCAAATTATTTTTATATTCTGAATTGTTGTTTATTTGTTTTAATGTAAATCGAAATTATTTGATTACAAATTTATTTAAAAACGAGCAATTATATGTAAAATAATTAAATATAATCTGACATCTAAATTGACATTAACGCGTGTATATCAGCTAATCGCGTGTATATAGCCTATCGATATAATATTGCTACATCCAAACAAGGTACTTACTTTTAATAAAAACATTATAACAACTCTACATTATGTACATGAATAAATAAATAAATAAAATTGAGTTAAAAATCAAAACTCACAATTTCGATGAATGTGAAACGAAGGAACACTTCCACAAACAAGCAACACAGACAACACTACCAACAACTTATATGAACACTTCATTATAATGAAATTATACGAAAAACTTCTTACAACTGACGAATTGCAATAATTTGGTTAACAGAACAGTACGTGTTCCGCTTACGACGTCCATTGCCAAACTAACTTTTTAGACTGAGTTAGTAGTGGGCGATATAAATCGATATTTCAAAAAATATCGATACATACACGCGATATATCGCTTTAATCCGATATTATCGAATCATCTAGTATCGAATGTAATATCGATATATTTCATCCGATACACCAAATATCGGGTCACATTCCATTTTTTATTTATATCTATTTATTTTCTGCAACATTGTTAATTTGAGTAAAAATAAAAGGAAAATCCCCAGGTTATAGAAAGCTTTTGCAATAACGAAACACAGACATGAGAGATAGATACCCTCCTCGATGGCAGCACTAGTGGTAAGACTTTTATAATCTGTGGTGTTGGCAGCATTGGTACTACCTAAACGCAATCTCATGTATTTTTTCTTCCAATAAAAAAAAAATCTGTGGTGTCTATGGTCACTTACTTGCTTTAGACATATATGTGATCTGTGCTGTGCTCACTTGTTTTGTTGGTTTCGTTTTTAATGCAATCAAATGCAATATAACCTTTAAAAGTTATCTGTTTTGTTTATTATAGTTTACGAAATATAAATACCCTTAAGTGTGTATAAATAACGATATATAAAAGCAGCTTTTATTATATAGAAGAAGCAAGCTGTGATAATCATTGTCTGTTTTGTTTATTCTGTTTACGTTTCATACAGTAAGTATAACGTGTTTTTAATGAAAGTACTATCAATTGTTACTATTTGTATAAAACAATAAATAATGAAATGCCCAAGTATTTATGAGTGTCAATCTAGCCGACATTAATTATTTTTTATAATAATAAAAGAATATTGTAAATAAAGTTTTAATTCAATAAACTAAAAAATGTACAGTTTAAAAATAAAAAAAAACATGTCGGTCATATTCAAACTCATTTATATTTGTATCAAATTCTCCAAAATGTACTAATTGTTTTCAATGGCCATTTTTTTGGTTTTCAAGAGTCTTAGTTAGGGATGGGAAATGGTCGATTAAATTAATTTCGATGGATTTGTTTTTATTTCATAAATTTTTAGGACTTAGGATTTTTCTCACGCAGTTTTTTTTTCAGAAATTAGGAAATCTTTCAATATGGCACCCACTAAAAAAAGTATTGTTTGGAAATATTACGAAAAAAATTATGACAAATCTGTCAGATGCAAGTTATGTCAAAAAAATGTTAAAACGGCTGGCAATACCTCTAATGCGATGGCACATATCAAAAATATTCATAAGGCTCTCTACTTGGAAGTTTTCAAAAGTAACCATAGTGCTGCTGTTGTTAAAAAAGATTTTAATTCAGATTCGTCCAACCCAATTCCTAATACTTCAAAACAAGATAGTATCACGTTATCGGAATCTACCGTCAACGAACATCAACTGATGCCTTCAACCTCTACGACATCTCCAATGGATTCTACGTCGTCGCCAATGGATAGTAGCGAGATAAATACGAACAATTCTCAACCTGATCAAAAGATAGATTATGTTAGAGAATTGCCTTTTAAACGCCAAAGATCAATTGAACGTAGTTTTGGAGAAATATATGCGTATACCTCTACTGGTGACAAAACTAAAAGAATTAATAATGCCATAATGTTCATGATCTGTAAAGACAATCAACCTTTTTCATTAGTTGAAAATGAAGGTTTCAAGAATCTTTTGAATGTAACGGTACCTCACTATAACATTCCTAGCAGAACTTCTGTAACACGGTGGTTAGATGAAAAGTATGATGCATTATCAACAGTTATAAAAAATAAATTATGCTGTGTAGAAGATCTGACCCTTACAAGTGACATTTGGTCAGATCTACAAATGAGAAGTTATCTAGGTCTAACTGCTCATTTTGGCATTGGAATTGAATTTCATTCCGTAACTTTAGGTGTATACCACTTAGATGAAAGACATACTTCCGAATACATTGCACAAATGCTCACTAAAACGTGTGAAGAGTCGGGATTTAATACTAATAAAGTCACAGCAGTAGTAACCGATAATGCTGCAAATATAGTGAAGGCTGTCGAAATTGCATTCGGAAAAAAAAAGCATATCCCTTGCTTTGCGCATACGCTTAATTTAGTAGCTCAAAATATTTTGGGATTTCCAGAATTACAGCAAATATTAACGAAACTAAAAAATGTTGTTACTTTTTTAAACAAAGTTATGTAGCAAATGACGAATTGCGTAAATCAGTTAAATCTGACACAAAATTGATTCAGGATGTCCCTACACGTTGGAACAGCTCATACTATATGATTGCACGTTTCCTTGATTTACGAAATGCTGTAAGCGAAATTTTAATTCGTCACAAAACAGCACCGCCGATGTTAACTGGTATGGAATTGACAATATTAACATCGCTTCTTAACATACTGCGCCCACTAGAAGCAGCGACCAAAGAAATATCGGGCGATAAATATTGCTCAAGTAGCAAAGTCATTCCATTAGTGCACTGCATGATATCAAAACTGAAAAGCCTAGTAATTGAAGAACCTTTAATTAAGGAGGTACATAAATGCATTTTTACCGAAATTAATAAAAGAATGGGCGCCATTGAACAGGTATCATCATTAGCTATTGCTACAATATTGGACCCTAGATTTAAAAAACTACATTTTGAAGATGCTTTGGCGTGCGCAAATGCCGTCAGTAAAATTAAAGAGATGATTAAAAAAAATCAGCAAGATGAATGTGCTGTGGAATCTGACTCCGACAATTCGGACAAAATAAGTATATCATCAGATCTCTGGAGTGATCACCATAAACTGGTACAGCGGAATTGGAAAACAAATAAAACTGATGAAAGTGTTTCAGATGAGTTATCGCTTTATTTGAGGGCTCCAGTCAGTAGATTCAACGAAAACCCATTAGAAATGTGGGCAGACTATAAAATACAGTTCCCAACGCTATCCAACGTGGCATTTAAATATTTAACTATGGTGGCTAGCTCAGTTCCATCTGAACTACTTTTCTCAAAAGCCGCACAGGTTCTTACACAGCAAAGAAACAGATTGCAAGCCAAAAGGGTTAATAAAATTTTGTTTTTGCAAGGTTTAGAGAAAAAGTACTGGAATTTATAAATCTTTCATATTGGTATGGTATAAAAGAAAAAGCTGCTATTCTTTGTTCTGTGTGTTCTGAATTATTTTTTGTGTGATTTATAAATAAAGTTCATTTGTTTCTTCTCTTTAAAGTGTTATTACTTGTAATTAACCTGATCCCTATTTAATATTATAGACTAGTTAGAAACAAGTAATTATTCGAACATATTTATCGATATTTTTAAAATATCGATATATATGTTCGATATATCGCAAAGTATCGATATAACATTACGATATATTATATCGAAAAAAATATCGATATTTTTTTTACATGAACATCCCTAGACTGAGTACAATCCTTAGTGATGCGTCTGAGCACGCACAGACTAATATAGAACTATAATGAATGAACGGCGCGTAGGGCAGCAACGTGCTAAGTAGGCTCCCATCCTACAACTAAGAACAAGGAATTACATAGAAAGAATGATAAAAACTGTAAATCATATGAATGAATGAAACTGTACACCATCAGTTGCTATTTATCTCAATACATTGCAGGCTAGTGTATCGAAAATTTGTCACTGGCAAATAATTATCATATCAAACATTTTCTAAGATTTTTTTTCGAGTCTCAAATCTCAAAAACGGGTCAACTTTTTGTCAGCTAATGTAATTAACCGACACATTCGTTTTTTTTATCAGTGTTCTATATATTAACGCACATAATGTACCTTGACGTATTTATATTTGATAAATAAAATGAGTTTTGACGCATTAAAAAGATGCAAAAATTATAAAACAATATAAATATAGTAATTTTAAAGGAAACACTCATAAAATAATTATTTATCACGCAAAATTGTATGAAAAAGTTGACCTGCTGTACTCGAAACATTTGTATTACATAGTATAGACACTCTATGTATATAATAAAAGGGATTTTTTTTTATGGGTGATAATGTAATGGTAACCCCGTCTTGCGTTAACGGTATACGCTGGCGGGGCACCAGTGAGGGTTGATACGTAAGGATGAAAGCAGGTCAATTAGCCCATCGTGACGAATTCCACTAGAATTAATCACGATGGTTTCCAGGGGGAATCGCGTGGAGGTCGACCTGATAGGGTGTATTATTAATAAATGGTCAGACTCCATTACTAACAATCCCTTTCGCCCTAATTTAAGGGATTAAATAGCTTTGACATTACTTTGCGATATCGACATACATTACAATCACCTGCGTGATTTTAATAGTATAAAATGCTTATTAGTAGGATTTTTTTTTATTATTAAATGCAAAAATTTAGAACTATACATGAAAATTTATCCTACTACAGTTATTATATTCGATTGTCATCTTGCAACCCTATTGCGGCATATAAAAATCACGATTAAAAAACAGAAGTTGATCGTAAAACGGTGAAAATTTGAGGTTGTATGTATATTTCAATGCTAAATCATAATAAAATAAAAATGGAAATGAAAAATTTGTCAAAAAAATAAGAAAAATTTTTGGGGAGGGTCACCCTTAACATTGAGGGGTATGAAAAATAGATGTCGGCCGATTCTCAGACCTACCCAATATGCACACAAAATTTCATAAAAATCGGTAAAGCAGTTTCGGAGGAGTTTGGTAACAAACACCGCGACACGAAAATTGTATATATTAGAGATAGACACCTAATAAGAGTTGTGCTTATTATTCCAATTCCGAATTCCTTATTTTAAGACGTAAAATTTTTCAATTTGTGCGAGCCAACAATGTATAAAACTATATCTTCTTTCTCCTTGCTATTTTTTTTAATGAATAATAATGGAATGGTAACCCTGCCTGCGCTAACGGTATACATTGGCGGGGTACCAGTGAAGGATGATAAGTGAAAATTAAAAGGTAGGTCAGTTAGCCCATCGTGATGAATACATCTGATATTCATCACGATGGTTTCCAGGGGGACCATGTGGAGGTCGATTTAACATATATATATATATATATATATATATTACTATATTCTGTATAGTTTATAATGATCGGACAGGGTTTCAGTTCTGTAATTTAGTTACATAAGTTCAAATGCGGATGATATATATATATATATATATATATAGGTATATTGCTAGCAATGCGGCTGGTAGTTCACATTGCAAATAATCCATTCCCCCCCTCCTCTCCTAGCTGTTATCCCAGTTTATTTGGGATCTGCCCTCTTAGTTATCCTGCGCCACACAGTACAGTAGTCTGTCCAACAACTAATATAGGGGGCAAAGGATTATTAGTGATGAATGAAATGAAATGAAATGAAATGAATTTATTTTGCTAGAATGCAGGTAATTTTAGATGATAGAGATTTATATTTCCCGTGTACATTCTGCCTCTATGTCGGCGTGCAAATTTTTAACAATATATGAAATTTATATATATATATATATTCTACATTATATTTCCTTTATATTTATATACAATATATTATTATTATTTATTACAGTAAACGGAAAATAAAAGCCTGTACAATAGTTGTCGAAATTAATAAAATATTTTAACAAACTGTGATATTAATTAGTGTTTTTTTTTTATACAACTTAGAATGGCAAACAAGCTGACGGCCCACCTGATGTAAAGTGGTAACCGTCGCCTATAGACATAAGCAGTACCATGGACATAACAGAGTATACTATTTCGCCCATGATACCCGTTGTGATATGCGTTGCCACTCCTGAGGACTCAGGTGTTATTCCTCTATACCCAGTAAATTCACGCCATATCCCACCCTTCAAACCGAAACACAGCCATGTAAACACAACTGCTTCACGGTAGAAACCTGAATGAGACAGAGGTACCCAAGCAATCGACTTTTGTACAAAGTCTCCCTCTGGTAAAGAACTGGTATAATAACAGAAGCATCAATGGTATCTCTAGTGTAGGTTGTGAAGTGCATTTGTTTTTTTAGCGAAATATTCATTAATGGTATAAAACCCATTACATAACAGCCAATTTTTACGTTTACGTTTAAACACTGTATGAGCTGTTACTTCTCTAATGTTATTTGGTAGATGGTTGTAAACTTTAATAGCCATATAGTATGCGTTACTTTTATATAAATCTAACCTGCACGTGCAGGCAATGGGGAATAACAATGGGGACTAAATAACCCATCAAGGGTTGATTAGTCCCCATTGCTATCAATATACCCTGTCATGTCGACCTACACGCGCTTCCCCCTGGAAACCAACGTGACTAATTTATCGTTGAATTCGTCACGATGGGCTAACTGACCTGCCATTTCATTCTCACCTATCGTCCCTCACTGGTGCCCCGCCAGCGTATACCAATTGCGCAGATGGGGTTACCATTATTATCATCCATTAAAAAAAATCAAGATATTTATGTATTTATTTATTTTACTAGACGAAAATGGAATGGTATTTATTGCTTCTATTGAGGTATGATAAGTTTTACTCTTAGATTATATAGATAGAGTGTCTCCATACAAATGCTTCCAGAAAAGCGGATCAACTTTCTCATACAATTTGCATGATAAATATGTAGTTATGAATAATTCCTTTATAACTACTATATTTATTTTGTCTTATTATTTCTGCATCTTTTTAATGAGTTAAATACATATTTTATTTATTAAATATACGTACGTCAATATACATTGTTTCCGTTTGTATATAGATCATTGATAAAACAAAACGTGACAGCTAATTTGACAATTAGGTAACAAAAAGTTGACCCGTTTTTGAAGCTCGATGCTCTATCTATATAATCTAAGATTTTATTATTATAGCACGATATATGATCACACCCTTAGTGAAACGCAATATACCTTATTAGGTCGACCTCCACGTGGTTCCCCCTGGAAACCATCGTGAACAATTCTTGTTGAATTCGTCACGATGGCCTAACTGACCTAATTCATCCTCACGTATCATTCTTCACTGGTGCTCTGCGGGTGTATACCAATAGCGCTGGCGGGATTATGATTCCATTGTCATCCATTACAAAAAAACTCTTCTTCCTCTCCTAGACTATGCTGATATTGCCTACCTCTAGGTAGGCAATATCCCACACAGGAGCTTGTTGATAAGCTTGATTGACTCATCACTGGTACCCCGCCGGTGAGCGCTACACAACCTAATTTTTTTATCGTATATACATGTAAAACACTCAGATAAATAAAAGCAAATATAGGCCGGAAGATAAGGTGATATAAAAACAACTAATGTCGTCTAAAATTCCTGTTATACGTTAGTCTATACGTGAAGAAGTCTGTGATAAGACGATGATCACAGCGTCGTCACATTAGTTATCTTATTTGAAAATTTTAAGTTTTAAATTTTTCTGTTCGTAAAATTTTGGTGAAGAAAAATTCTTGGAGAAATGAGAAATGTGTTTGGAGAAAGTTGGACAATTTTTTTTTTGTGTATTTGATAGTTTTGGTATTTGAAAAATGTATAGAGTAACTGTAAGTACATGTAAATACAATAAACGTTGCTTGTGTTATATTTAAACAAAACTTATTCCATTGCAAACATATATTTATTAACTTCTAAGTGAGTGAAGAAAGGTGGGAAAGCAACCGGAAAATCCGCTAGTACATACATGTCAACTAATGTCATCTGTCAATTGAGATGCGTTCTTTATACATATTTAAACTAGGTACATTCATCTTACAGCCTGGAAGAGATCGCTTTTAGCGATAAGGTCGCCCATTGTTTTCTCTTTGTGATTATTTCTTGTAATTGTTTGTATCTATAATAAGTTTACTATTGTAATCTTTTAGAGGAAACAATGACTATCCCGTGCTGTATTCTGCCCATCGAAGCCACCCAAAACAGCAAAGAAGACGATGAGCTGTACTGCGGTGGTTAGGTCATTCATTTAGGCACACCAGCGCTGAACTCGTGAGTTGCAGCTATCGAAGGTACGCATAACTTCCGCCTTTCGCCTTGGCCAACGTTACATACATTGCAAAATATTTATTTTATTTAATTTTTTTTCAAATCTATGCACCGCTATTTACTCTCTCTGTTTAGCGTAACGGTTAACTGGTAGAGAATGCCATCAGGCATTAAGTTCGCCCTGTTCCAGTGTGTACAAAAGTATAAATAAAAAAATAATATTATTTTAATAACAAATACAGGCCCAGCTATCGGCGCCCGCCATTGGTAGGCATGAGGTGGCCGAGGACAATTAATTAGAACCTCATGTATGCGTTCTACAGGGCTACATCCAAGACGGAGGGGGGCGGGGAAGGGATTGTTAATAATAGGATCTAATTGACCCATTGCCAGCAATACACCATATCAGGTTGAACTCCACGTGATCCCCCTTGGAAACTGTCGTGGTTAAATGTAGTGGAATTCATTACGATGGACTAACTGACCTGCTTTCATCATCACCTATCGTCCCCCATTGGTGCCCCGCCAATGTATACCGATAGCGCAGGCGACAGGTTACCATTCCATTATCACCCATTAAAAAAAACACCCAAGACGAGGGGGGGGCGTTAGTAATGAGATTTAACAGCTCCATTACTAGTAATATAACTTATCAGGCCGACCTCTACGCGGTTCCCACTGGAAACCATAATACTGGTTCAATTAGTTACTATGGACCAACTGACCTCCCTTCATTCTCACCTGTCATCCTTCACTGGTGCCTCGCCAGCGTAATTATCAACCATTAACAAAAAACACCCCAGATGGTTGGGATTCCGAGGAAGATGAAGATAATAAGTTATATAATATTATATATATATATATATATATATATATATATATATATAACACGGGGGGCAAACGATCATACGGCTCACCTGATGGTAAGTGACTACCGCCGCCCATGATCACCCAGAACACTAGAGATTGCAGATGTGTTATCGACATTTTAAAAAGAAATATGTTTTTTTCTTGAAGGTTATGAAGTCGTATCGTTTCGAAAATACTGCTGCTGGAAGTTTATTCCAAAGCGTATTCTACGAATAAATGAAACAAATGAATTACCGCGTAAAAAAGTACATTGATAACTTACTCGTATATGGACTTATGATCGCTAGTTCTAAAGTAATTTAAAAATAATAAAAACTTTATTGCATAACCACGATTGTAACAAACTCAGCACTGGAAATTACAGTAAAAGTAGGTACGAATTCATTTGTACATTTGGATCAGTTTAAACATCTGTGTCTGAACTAGGTTATAAAACCTGTATCTCAGACAACAGCGCTCAACCCTCATTACATAGTATAATATTAATTCAGCAAATTTTTCAGTGCTACATATAGAATGTTGATTTTATATAAAACTAGCTGACCCCGTAAACGTTGTTTTACCACTTATTGCGAAATATAAAAATCGCGATTACAATACAGGGGTTGATCGTAAAACGATGAAAATTTAAAGTTGTATGTATTTTTCAATGTTAAATTATAATAATATAAAAAATAAAAAAATAAATTGTCAAAAAAATAAAAAAAAAATATTTTGGGGTGGGTCATCCTTATCATTGAGGGGTAAAAAAAATAGATGTTGGCCGATTCTCAGACCTATCCGATGTGCACACAAAATTTCATAAAAATCGGTAAAGCCGTTTCGGAGGAGTTTGGTAACAAACACCGCGACACGAGAATTTTATATATAAGATTTATTCATCTACATATAACTATTAGTAATAATGAAAATTGTGAAAATAATTTAAATGCTCGTAATGTTAAAGATCCAAGGTAAATAGCTGTGAACTTTTGTGTAGACTCCGGGTACACCCTCCAGTCCGCAGGGTTTCGGACCAAAGCTGATAATTCCGACCAACTGGTATACTGTGTTCTCATCAACGGACATGAGTGGACCACCAGAATCCAGTTTGCACGTGTCTCTGCCTCTCTCGCCTCCCGCACATATCTGGTGATCTGATAACGGACTGTGCTTTGTTCCGACATATCTCGATTGACAGTACTGAAAAAACGTTAGTATATGGTTTAGTATGATGCATATGCGTGTACATGCATGCTATTTCTATAATGATGAATGTCCGACTGTGACGGCTCAGTAATATACGAAAATCTTAGTAAAATATACCTTGTAAACTGTCATTTCACAGGCATATTACATTTAGCCTTACATTATATAGATAGAGTATCCCCATATAAATGCCTCGCTAAAACAGGTCAATTTTTTTATCAATGCTACCTGAATAGGGTTATCGTAATAAAAAAAAAAAACTAAATATATAGAAGAAAGTATATTGTAAAGTTAACTTGAAAAATTATATAATTTAGTAGATTTTTTAAAAAAAAAAAAAAACAAACATAAATAATCTATAATGATTTTGTAATCATGCTCATCTTTATTGAATCGTCATCATAATCTTAGCTATTTTTATTTGAATTGAAAGAACTATTTCTTTGTCTATATTTAAAAACGAAAACATAATTTGTAGACAAAAATATATTTTCAAATTCGCCTTAATACCCCTATAAAAAAATTGTTCACTAATTAAAAAAAAAGCTAATTAGTTGCATCATAAAAAAATGATTTGTTTTGATTAAAAAAAACATGTATCAGCCAATTTAACGTTTGACTAACTATTGAACTGATTTAAATACATCTTAAATTAAAACATAAATAATACTATTATAAATGTGTAAGTTTAAAAAAAAATTTTTGAATGTTTGTTAATTTAGGTATTTATTAATCACACCTTAATGCAATGCAGAAAAAAGAACTTGAATATATATATATATATATATATATATATATATATATATATATATATATATATATATATATATATAGGCAATATTGCAATAAGCGTTTGCTCCATCTATATACCGTGACGGGGCGTTCATAAGCTAAAATGTCCTACTGTAAATGATTTATATATAGATATCAGATATATATAGATATCTTTACTGTATACCGAGTACATTTATCATAATTAATGCAGGCAAAACCGTAGAGAACAGCTAATAAAATAATTACTTTACCTGCATACTAACAAACGGCAATCTGATATGTTGTTTAACTTTACTGATGTCATTCATATCGTTTATCACTCCCCAGCCTACGGCAGTGAATAACAATCGAGCTGGCGGCGACTTAGTAATATCTGTAGCCGGCAAACAAATCGGCCGGATGAAGTCTGCAAATGGAAGAATTGAAAACAGTTGTGAGCTGTGGTCAAAAAAAGTATTGGTCAAACTTTGAGCCATTCTCTTTTCGGTTGATCGCATTCATGAACCATATTGTCCCTATGTTCACTCAGGATGATGTAATTTTTTATACTATAAAAGTGGTAAATAAGCATATAGGCCGTCTGACAGTAAACAGCCACTGTAGCCTATTGGCACCTGCATTACTAGAAGTATCACGTGCGTGTTGCCGACCCTGAAGAAACCTTAATATGAAGAACCCCATGATTTCTTAATAATGGAGTAGAAAAATCTCGTTACTAGCAATACTTTAATGGATAATAATGAAATAGTAATCCCAATTGTGTTGATGGTATACCCTGGCGGAGCACCAGTGAGAGATGATAGGTGAGGATAAAAACAAATCAATTGGCCTATACTGACGAATTCGACAAAGAATTGGATAATACCTAGACAGTTTCGTGTGGACGTCCACCTGATAGAGCATATTGCTAGCAATAATGGAGTTGTTAGATCCTATTTACTAACAATCCCTTTCACCCCTGAACAAAGAGGTTAATCATATTTATAATCATAACCGCAGTTTTGTTGAACGTAGGCCTATCCCATAGATTGGGGTTTTGGCAATAGTTGCTACGTTTGCCAAACAGATCGGCAACCGCATTTAGCCTTTGATGAGAGGGACGTTGCTACCCATCTCTCGACCCTTAAATAAGGGATTTTGTACTTAACCAAAACTTAGTAGTTACTGGTAACGAACCTGTGAAAGGCGCAGGATTCTTTAAACGTATCAGAGCAATGTCGTTTGCACTTGTGCTAGATCTGTACTGCGGGTGTAATGTGTAACTTTGAATTTTTACAACAAGCACAGGATCAGTACAGTCCATACCGCCTCCGTCGACTGCCACGCAGTCTCTGTCGTCACTAGTCGTGTTATATTCACCAAGCCGTACGAACTCTCTGATAAATAATAGATCCTATATAGTATATATATGATGACGATGATACAGCAGTTAACTATCCACAGCTAAACATAATAAACCTTCCCCTTGGGGGGTTTAACCTACTGGCAAACTACCTGCCAAACGTAACAAACGTTTGGCAGGTAGTTTGCCAACTACAGTTAGGCTTTGGTGATGTTTTAAGAGGCATGCTGCTGCCTATTCCGCGACTATTAAATTTCCTTAGTCGCCTCTCACGACATTCAACAGAAAGAAGGAGTTGGCCCATTCTATGCCGGGACCACACGGCAATATTACTTATTAATGTAATTAATACTAAAGTTTGTAACGATGGATGGTTAAATGAATAGATGTTTGTTACTCTTTTACGCGGAAACTACTGAATGAATTTGAATGCAATTTGGTACACTGAGGTTATATCCTAACGGCTTCACCAATCATTATAAAATTTGGCATACTTATAAGTTATAGGATGGAAAAGGACATAGGCATTAAACAAAATGATTCTATTCAAATAACCATTTAAAGATGCATAACTCTATTTATTTTATGTAATTTAGAATGACAAACAAGTTGATGGCCCACCTGATGGAAAGTGGTATCCATCGTCTATAGATATGAGCAGTACCATGGACATAACAGAGTACACTGTTTCGCCCATGATGCCTCCCACGTATTGCCATTCCTTAGGACTCAGGTGTTATTCCTCTGTACCCTGAAAATTCACTGCCATATCCCACTCTTTAAACCAAAACACAGCCGTGTAAACACAACTGCTTCACGGTAGAAACACGAATGGGATAGCGGTGCCCAAGTAAACGACTTTTGTACAAACTCACCCTACCATAATGCAGTTTAATAAGTTCCAACATATAAAACGAACGACAAATTAATTGACTAAATGTTTCGATAAATTACTTATTTCATTTAAATAGTTTTTGGTAATACTTTTTTTTTTATTTTATTTTATACAAAAATCCACAGCTCTTAAAAAATAACTTATATGCTAAGTCTCTTATGAATACAGCCAATAAAGGATTTTATTTATACAAACAAAAATTATGATTTCAAAGCGAGATAGGCAAGTTATAGTGGGTGTATGCAAGTAATATAAGCACATGTATGAAAGAAACCATATATAATAGTGAGTGTCCATAAAGTTAATTGATATATAAAAATATAGTATAAAGTATATAAATATAAAGTTCAAATATTGACAGCAATGATTCAATAATACAAATTCATGGTCACCAATTGTAAAGAGGGTTAAATGTATGCGTAGGTGTATGTGTAATGTAGGTGTATAAATAAATGTATAATAGTGTGATATAAATAAATGTAAATATGTAGTGTATATATATGCAACATAGGTAATTATGATATTATTTCATCCATTATCACAGCCCTGAATTTATATCTACTGAGGTGGAATAAATCCACTGTTGAAAAAAGTTTGTTATACGAATTCATTAGACATTTTAACAATAACTGTCTATTGACTTCTATTAAAATTATGTTTACTTACGGCTTCATAAAGTCAGCACTCACTGTGAAACAATGGGCCGCTGTGAGCACGAAGGTAGAGCTGATAAGGGCACCACCGCACAAGAATAGGTTGGTTTTTATCAATGTGTTATTCAGTGGGACGTATTCTATGAGGGCTGTCCACGGGTACTGGTCAATTGCCGCGAATGTTCCACCTGGCAAAATTAAATTATTACACTCAGAAATATAATAATAACAATTACTGTAAAGCAGTTGTGTTTGCATGGCTGTGTTTCGGTTTGAAGGGTGGGATATGGCGTGAATTTACTGGGTACAGAGGAATAACACCTGAGTCCTCAGAAATGGCAACGCATGGGGGGTATCATGGGCGAAACAGTGTACTCTGTTGTGTCCATGGTACTGCTTATGTCTATAGGCGACGGTTGCCACTTTCCATCAGATGGGCCGTCAGCTTGTTTGCCATTCTAAATTGTATAAAAAAAATATTAGAAATAATGTTAGTAAACGTGAAGTCCCATGTGGCCTTGGCATAGAATAGGCCACCACTTTCTTTCCCGTGGGTGTCGTAAGAGGCGACTAGGAAGGGCGTTCCACTTAAAACATCTTCGAAGCCTAATTGTGGCCTAAAGGCAGGTCAATTAGCCCATCATGATGAATACACTTGGAATTCACAACGATGGTTTCTAGGAAAGACCACGTGAAGATCGACCTGACAGGATATATTGTTAGCAATGGGACATTGTAGTCAGCATTACTAACAATCCCTTCTCCCCCACATGTATAATATTAGCACAGTATAAGTTCCGTGTGGTCCCGGCATAGAAATAGCCACCCCTTCCTTTTCTGTGGACGTCGGAAGAGGAGACTAAAAGAACATAATGATAGAGAAATGGGCAGCAGCGTCCCTCTTAAAACATCACTAAAAGCCTATCTGTGGTTGCCAAGCATGGCAACTACTAGCAAAACTTCCCTTATGGGGAAGGCTTTTGTCCAGCATTGGACAGCTAACGGCTGAAATAATAATAATAATCAATACAAACTTACCGACAATTTTGTTACCAGCCGAGCTGTCAATACCACAACATCCATCTTCGAAGTCTGAGGGGTAAGACGATATCTTATTTTCACAAGAACCCTCGATGTACTGTGACACTACAGAAGAATCTATAAGAGATAACATAATCATTGTCTTCCTGCCCTTATCCATATTACAAAAAGATTTGGCTTCCTAAATCCCAATTCGACATGGTATAATAAAATTCATTGGTTTAGATATTGCAGTAAACATTCCAGCCTTTCTGAATTCCATCAGAGAAAATATAATAAGATCAGTACTCAACTCTATTTACTCTATTTGAAATATTATTTAATAAAAAAAGTGCTCCAATAAGAGGTGGGTGATGGAGCAAATTTGTTTTAGCCTCAGGCATGGCAACCAACACGTGACGTCTAGCACGAGAGTATATTTGTCTGACACAAAAAACTTCGCTTTAGTCAAATTGAAAGTATTTGTTATTTCATGTCATTGGTGAGAATGAAAAGGCCCATCAATTAGCCCACCGTGATGAATACACCTGGGATTTAGCACGATGGTTTCCAGGGGGGACCACGTAGAGGTCGAGCTGACATCACTATCGGTATACACTGACGGAGTACCACTGAGACGTAAAAAGTGAGGACAAAGTTAAGTCAGTTGACGCGTTACAGCATTCATTTTTTTAATAAAATATTCGCTAACAATGCAATATGAAATGCTAGAATTTTCATCGTGCCTCCGATCAGACTGTTTATAATTACTCCTCTCTCTCCAAAGGTTACTTGGAAAAGATCACTTTCAACGATTAGGTCACCCATTGTTTCCTTAGTCTGATCATTTCTTGTATTTTTTTATATCTATAATAAGTTTACAATTGTAATCTTTTGAATGTAACAATAAAGATTATGAATGAATGAATGAATGAGTATACTTTATTTGCATTATACAATATAGGAAATAAACAAGACAATTTACAAACACAACGATACAATTGTATAAGTACAGTAAGGCGGTCTTATTGCTGAGAGCAATCTTTTAAAGACAACCTTAGGGTAATGGACTAATTGTTGTACAAGTAGGTAAAATAGCGCTTTATATTATAATTAAAAAGCATCTTTTGCAAATTAAAAATATATAAAAATTATATACATATATACACACATATATACATACATATACACATACATATATATACATACACATACATATATCCATCTATCGTACTATCTATCTATCTACTAAATTTATCCATCACAAACAAAACACCTAATCTTTTCTTGCTTTGATATTAGTTTAAATAAATTTACTTATTCGAGTATTCATATAATAAAAATAAAAACTTACATCCTTGCACGAAATAAACGGAAAACACGAGCAGTAACATAATCGACATTTCGTACTCACTAGTAGATTATTTACGAATTAAAATTCAACTTATTCTATTTCTTCCCAAGTCCCTGCTCTAAATGTATTTATAAAATATATATTCTCGTTAATAAATAACAGGACAATCTGCTAAAGAAATCAAAGTTGTTATGTGTTATATACATTATTCGTCCGAGAGGTTTTGTTGAACCGGTTTAGATGCGAGCTTGTTCTATTGGAGTGAACCTTCGCATTTTTATCTCTTTTTATGCAACTTAAAATAGCAAAAATGCCGGGCGTCCCACCCGATGGAAAGTGATAATAGTCGCCAATAGCCATGAACAGCGCCATGGGGAGAGGCGGAGTATACCAAAGGCAAACTAGGCATGAGCCTAGGGACGCAAAGTTAAAACAGGGCACGTGTGTGATTTTTTTTTATACAGCTTAGAATGACAAACAAGCTGACGGCCCATCTGATGGAAAGTGGTAACCGTCGCCTATAGACATGAGCAGTACCATGGACATAACAGAGTATACTGTTTCGCCCATGATAACCCCCATGCGTTGCCATTCCTGAGGACTCAGGTGTTATTCCTATGTACCCAGTAAATTCACGCCATATCCCACCCTTCAAACCGAAACACAGCCATGCAAACACAACTGCTTCACGGTTAAAACACGAATGGGACAAAGGTACCCAAGCAATCGACTTTTGTACAAAGTTTCCCTCTGGTAAAAAGAAATATATAAAGAAAGAATAAAAATAACCTAATTTTGTCACTAGACAAGATATATAAATACTGATATATATATATATACCGATCCGATATCTATATATTGGGTTTCTCTGCACGTCGATGGCGGAAAAAAGGTCATCACCCATATCGATATCGCCCATATCGGACGGATATCTATTTCCAAATATGTAGAAAGTGTGTTGTCCAATATTATATTTCAAATAACAGACATTTTAACATGTTCGTTATTGGACCAGTATATACATATTGTAACTAAAATATATAGTTATTGTTATAAGAGAAACAAACCACGCTCTGCTACCATATTAAAGTGGAAAACAGAAAGCGTATACGTATAATAAGCAGAATAAAATGTTACAATAAACAAGATGTTTAGCGACGACATCGTATCGATAGACACAGTCAAGTAGGTCGTATATCCATAATTCATACTCCTAACGTATTTTTTTTAAGAGTGATAATGAAATGGTAACCCTGTCCGCGCTATTGGTATATACTGGCGGAGCACCGGTGAGAGATGATAGGTGAGGCTGAAACAGGTCAGTTAGTCAATCGTGACGAATTCCACTAGAGTTAACCACGATAATTTCCAATAGGGCTGTCAAATCCATTACTTACAATCCCTTTCCCCCCTATACATATAATACCCATCCTTAGTAGGTACTTATACATATCGTCACTAGACAGCACTTGTGGTGGTGAGCAGTGTTTTTTCTGTCTCAAGTTTTTTTTTTACAACTTAGAATGGCAAACAAGCTGACGGCCCACCTGATGGAAAGTGGTAACCGTCGCCTATAGACATGGGCAGTACCATGAACATAACAGAGTATACTGTTTCGCCCATGAGTTTTCTAAGTTGCATAAAAAAAGGTATCTAGGTGCCTATGTTTATAAACTAATTATACGTAATTATATAAATGTAATGTATCTACCACTAATTGCAATACCTAAACTGAGTTTATGTTGTCTATGTGACATCATCATCATCATCACCATTTCAGTCATTATCTATCCACTGCTTAACATAGACCTCCCCCATAGGCTTCTTTAAGGAATGTTCCTAAATCACCTGCATCCACTAACTTCCTGTAATGCATTTGAGGTCATCACTCCATCTAGTGGGCAGTTGTCCCACACTGCGTATGCACGTACGGGGTCGTTTGCGTAATGCAATAAATAAATATTGAAATACATAAATAAAAGTCAAAAATATTTAGGAACGTATTTTATTATAAATATAAATACATTTCATGAACAACGCGTCTAAATATACATGTTTTATAAATAATAAATGTTATAAAAATAAATTAGGCACATTCTAGTTTGTTATCTATCTTGCAATATCTCTTAAATCTGAGACAAAACAAAAAATTCTTAATTCAATTTACAATACTTTTAGAGATAGAATGTCTCTATAGAAATGCTTCGAGAGAAACGGGTCAACTTTTTCATACAATTTTGCGTGATAAATATAATAGTTATGAGTGATTCCTTTATAACTTCTATATTTATTTTGCCTTTTAAACTCTGCATCTTTTTAATGCGTAAACAGTCATTTTATTTATTAAATAATATGTCAAGATACAATTTATGTGTAACTACGAATATGTAGGATACTAGTAAAAAAACGTGTCAGCTACTTTAATAATTAGATGACTAAAAGTTGACCCGTTTTTGAGGCTCGATGTTCCATCTATATAATCTAAGTGTCTTATAAGTGCATGTTGGTTTTTGGGATTTGGCGCTTTCCTATGTCAAAAATTTGACAATTAAAAAAAAAACTAAAGCTGCTCAGAAACTGTCAAACGTTAAATACTTCGACATCAGCATTTTCAACCGAGATATATTTTGTTATGCAAGTTTTTGGGAAATTGTTTTTTTTTTTATATTTTTTAAATCTTTTGCCCGTTTTTAATCAATATCTATATACATATGTAACGGGAAAAAAACAATTGTCGGCAACGACGAAAAATACAGTGAACTCATTAATTAATTAATATGTCCCAAATAACTTTAAAGAATAAACTTAAAAAAGTCTTATTAGAGAAACAAATTCAAAACGGTTGAGAAATTGACGCCTCACGTTCTTTTATTTAATTTTTTTATGCTACTGTCATTGTAAAGTGCGATAATTTATTAAGATTTTGTTCTTTTTAGTTTTGGTTGTAATGTTTTATATATTTGTTGTTAAGCGTGTTGAGTCTCCCATCCGAGAAATAGGTATTGGCGACCCGCACGCATGCTAAAGGTAAAGGAGTTAAGGGGCCGCCGGAAAATCAGCGCTATATAGGTACACCTCGCTGGAGCTGTACATATATAGCAACAGCTGAGGCGGCTCCCATTACCAGCAAAATTAATTGTTTTTTTTTTTCTTTTTGATGTTTTAATTTTTTATTTTCTTAATACTGGTAATAAAGGTTATCTATCTATTTATATATATAAATATATATATGTTGAATACGAACAAAAATATCGTAATACAAACTGTTTCATAATTGTAAATACTTTTTCGTTTTTCTTATATTTTTAACTAATGTCATAACTCCGTCAGTTCTAAACCGATTTGGAAATTCTTTTTTTATCCAAAAGAATATATTTACAGATTGGTCCCGTAGAAATTTTATCAAAATCGGTTTAGCAGTTTAGTTTTTAGACCAATATAACTGATTTTATTACAATTGAAGTCTTTTTATTTTGTGGGACACAGATTGTGCTACACGACTAAATAATTAAGTGTAAACCAAATTTTCAGCATTACTAAGTGTAAAGATCAAGCAATTTACAGGGTACAGAGGAATAACACCTGAGTCCTCAGGAATGGCATCGCATGGGGGGTATCATGGGCGAAACAGTATACTCTGTTATGTCCATGGTACTGCTTATGTCTATAGGCGACGGTTACCACTTTCCATCAGGTGGGCCGTCAGCTTGTTTGCCATTCGCAGTTGCATAAAAAAAAATTAACTAGTATTTAAAACTTATTTATTCTAATTGTATAGTTCATGAATTATTTCATTTTCCTCGTAGTCTCGGTAAATACCAATGTATGGTAAGTACAGATTACTAATATATGCGAGTTACGTCATTAAACTGCGTTACTAAAGAATCTGGATCTTAACAATAAAAGATATATTAAACATTTGCGACATTTGATGCGACGAGTCGAGTTGATTCGAATACTGACTCGAATCGGTCTATTCTTGGTTGCAGTATAGTATTATTATCAGTAATACAATATCCTTAAAGGTAATCAATCAATATGCAAACTTGTATTTAATTATAATGAATTTTGGTATATAGATAGATGTGACTTATTTACTATTTCTTGGAAAAACATATATGAAGTGGGGTGAGAGAGGGGAGGAAAACGTTCATACAAAAATTACTTGTATGAATTCTTTTATTGCATCGTCCGATTTGTTCTAAATCCTTTGCAGGATTGTTGTTTATAAACAATAATCCCTTGTAGGCAGCAATTTATAATTAAAATATACATACTTGATTTTTCAAACTACTCCTTAAAGAGGGTGGATATCTTTTTATAATTATTTCATCTCTACCTGTACAAACAACCAGAGTTGTTGACCAAAATCAATATTAACGCGAGCGAAGCCGCGGGTAAAAGCTAATCGTATAATAATCCAGATTTATTTATACTATAAATGTAAATATAAATAACATATACATAAATAAATCTGTATTTACATTAAATATCTTCTAACACTGATTTAATCCAGTCCAAATGTGATTGGACGCTAGTGTAAATACCCGGCGATCCTTTTGTGCCGCAATTGACGTTGCCCGAGCTGGTCACCCCCCACAGTTCTATTCTGTCTTTAACCCACATCAGTGGCCCACCAGAATCCCCCTTGCAGGTATCAATCCCCTCCTCTCCACCTGCACATATAACTTCTGTGGGTAAATTTAATTCAGAGTATGCGCTCTGGCATTGTCTTCTAGAATAATACGGTAATGGTATGATTTTCTTCAGGTTACTGTAAAGGTGTGTTGAGGGCTTCACCCCCCATCCAGCCGCGTAGAATGTAACATCTGATCTGATGTCTCCAGAGGGAAGGCAAATTGGCCGGATGAAATCTGAAAGGCAAGGACATGAAATCAAATTATTAGCGGCACGTAAAGTCAAGAATTTACCAATGCTACTATATACTAAATCAGCCGATAAATGTCCACTGCTGAACATAAGCCATCCCCATAAGGGAAGGTTTCCCAGTAGCGACGACGCTTGACAGCCGAGTTGGCAACCGCAGTTAGTTTTAAGAGGGACGCTGCTGCCCATCCCTCAGTCATTAAGTTCCTTTAGTTGCTTCCACGGCTCCCACGGGAAAGAACAGGGTGGCCCATTCTATCCCGAAACCACACAGTTAATGGCACCAAATATTTATAATTATAAATCAAATACCCGGGAGAAAGAGATCGTTAGTGATGGATTTTAACAACCCAATATTGGTAGCAATATTTTATATTATGGTATATGTAATAATAATGTTATATTATTATTCATTTACTTTTATTATTTACATATGTAGGTATATAGGGTTGTTTTTATTGTGTTATATATTCAATTTTTTTTTTACTGGATATTATTTAGTTTATCTTTAATTGTACGGTTATTACCCTTATACATTCTACAGTTTCCTTTCAGCTTCTCAAAGGTTGACTGTAAGAGATCCCTTTATGGGATAAGTCCGCCATTGTACATTAAATCATTTACCAGTGTTAAATCTGAGTTATGTATAATAAAGATTTGACAATACAATACAATTATAAAATAGTTTTTTATTTACCAGTATAAGGTGCTGCGTTAACGAGCCTGAGCACAGCGATGTCGTGGTCCCTCGTATCGTAGTCGGGGTGTACGAAGATGTCGGAGATCTGGATGTGCAGCGTTTCTGAGCAGATACCCTGCAGGCAGTCCAAGTTTGTTGATACGTCGTACTCGCCGAGACGAGCTACCAATCTGGAATATATATATTTCTGTTAAAAAATATCATACAAATAATTACTAACTTGGAATCCAATTACCTCTTAACAGAATGTTATCAACTTATAGTTTTTTTTTTTTATATTGCTTAGAATGGCAACTAAACTGACGGCCCACCTGATGGAAAGCGGTAACGGTCGCCTATAGACGTGAGCAGTACCATGGACATAACAGAGTACGTGTATACTGTTTCGTCCATGATAATTCTCTGTACCCTGTAGTTTTACTGCCCCATCCTGCCCTAAACGTAAAATCCATAAAAGTTGACGTCATTGGTAATTTCTTAATGCAATTCATCAAGCTTATTAAAAGTATAGATTGATAACTAACACCCTAAGGGGAAAAGGATTGTTAGTAATAGGTATTTTCCGGATCAATTACTAGTAATATACCCTATCAAGTCAATCTCCACGTGGTTCCCTGGGGAAACCATCGTGGTTAATTCTTGTGGAATTTATCACGATAGGCTAACTGACCTGCTTTCATCGCCACCTATCATTCCTCATTGGTGCCTCGCCAGCGAATACCGTTAACGCAGGCGGGGTTACCATTCCATTATCATCCCACATAAAACCTTTTATATCTATTTTAACTATTAAACTATTTTGTCTCTTTCTTTCAAATAAGAAATTTAGCACAAAAGAAAGAGAAAATCTGTGATACATTACCGTTGAAATTTAATTTTTTTAACACAATGCGCTGCTGTCACAATATGTCTGCTGTCAACCAGGGTCCCAGCACACCTGATATCGGCCAGGTGACCCTTCCGGTAGTATTCCAGGTACACAAGCCATGGGTTGTGGTGGATGAGACTGGTACTAGCTTCCACGCCGCATTTGGGCACTATTATTGTAATAAAAAATAAAAATAATTTGAGATATTTTAAAAGACAAGTTTTTACAAAAAGGGCGTAATAAGGTTTGATAAGGTATACCCTGATGTTGCAGGCATTCATAAACAGTAATTGTTTATCAACTGACGGGTTGTATACTTGTTTACCACCATCATTATCTAATATACAAATACAAAAATACAAATACAAATATCTTTTATTTTGTTTGAAAAATGGTATAAAAGATGGTATATAATATTTAAATATTGTTCACATTTTTCACCAAAATCTGGCGTACAAAATTTATTTAATTGTTCCACTATACTATGCTAACACTATTTTACTTAAATCGTCATATTATGTAAATGTCAATATATTTACGTATTAATAATAAATTATACAGGTTACAAATTACAATCATTTTACAAAATATAAATTACATTAATTGAGTCATATATTTAAGCTTTAAAATATTCAAAATATTCATTAACCGAGTAAAAACATTTTTCTATCAGCCATCTTTTTAGTTTCTTTTTAAATATATTCAAGGGTAGTGTTTTTATTTCGTCCGTTAATTTATTATAAATGCTTATTGTCATACAGTAGGCATTACTGGTATACAAAGTTGTAGTTTTATAAGGTAGTACTAAGCTTTGAGGATTTCTTGTGTTAAAATTACAGAGATCACTTTTCTTTTTAAATAAATGTAAATGTGTTTTCGCGAATATGCATACTTCATATATATATTTACATGGGTACAGTAAGTATATTTAGTTCCTTGAATAATGATCGACAAGATGTTCGTGAGTCAACGTTACAGATCGACCTGATGCATTGTTTCTGTGATATGAGGGCACGGCTTGCATGATACGAGTTACCCCACAGAAGTATAGCGTATCTCAAAATAGAACTGACATAACCATGGTATGCCTGTAAAGCTGTTTCTTTATTGCTAATCCTTAGTCGCCAGAGAGCATACGCAAATGAATTTACTTTATTGCATAGTTTATCAATATGATCAGCCCAGGAACATTTATCATCCAATGAGACACCTATATATACTGCTTTCAACATAATAATTATTGTGGTGAATTATTTATATTGTATGTTTAATTAATTAATGAAATATATTATTTATGCATCATTCAAATAAGTATGTTAGATACATATAATACAATTTTATCTTTGGCTGTTCATTTGGTCACACAGGGTTACATTCTAGGTTCGTTGCACGCGTCCGTTTAGTCTAAACGCAGCTGCAGCTGAAATCAGTGCTTTGCTTTTAAGCAAAACTATCACTGAGCTGTAGCCTATTTGGGTCACTGCGACACACATGGTGAAAACATATTTTCATTTTTAATCTTTGGTTTTATATTTGAAAAAAAGTATATGATTGTATAAAGTCATTTGTTAAGTTACGTGTGTCATAAATGGTTCAAATAAAGTGTTTATCTATCTATATATCTATTATAAATATGATAATATGTTAGTCTGTTTATTACTTTATAGCGCCTTAACGATTACATACTGTATGGGATGGAGAAGGATATAGGCTTCTTTTTATCCCGGTCAATAAACATATCCCGGTCACGCGGACAAAGTAACTGGTTAAAACTAGTATTGATATAAAAATAAATATTGTGTCACATAAAAAAACCGACTTCAATTAAGACAATGCCAGTTATTTCCATCTTAAAACTAAACTGCTGAACTGAAATTTCAATAAAATTTTCGTGGCGCCAATCTTTTAAATAAAAATAATCACAAATCGGTTTAGAACTAACGGAGTTATGAGGTAATAGACATAAAAAAATAATACAATGGAATTAAGGACCCCTTTCTTTTTGAAGTCGGTCGAAAACATATATACTTATATAATCGTTTTTATTTTTTTATTTTTCAAAAAACAAGTGACTATGCTGATGAATACACCGACAACGACTTCCTTTATAATAATATCCTTTAATATAAGTATTGTGTCGGTCGGTCCGTCGAAAATTGCTTTTTGCGAAGAGCAGTTTTCAAACGACATCAAAAAAGGAGGTTCTCAATTTGGTGACAAATTTGAAAGAATAACATAAACAGTGCATAATGATGCTTATCTTTACTTTGATATCATTTTACTTTGATATATTGCTTAGCAATAAGACCGCCTTTTGTACTACGCTATACTTATTGAAAATTCTTCAACAAGTCCTGTTATATTGGTGCAATGAAGTGTTAAATAAATAAACCCAAATATAGACTTATAATGTTTTCGTTCATGATCATTCAAAAATAGCCACCACTCTTATTTATTCATATTAATTTTTTTTTATACAACTTAGAATGGCAAACACGCTGACAGCCCACCTGATGGAAAGTGGTAACCGTCGCCTATAGACATGAGCAGTACCATGGACATAACAGTGTATACTGGTTCGCCCATGATAACCCCCATACGTTGCCATTCCTGAGGACTCAGGTGTTATTCCTCTGTACCCAGTAAATTCACGCCATATACCACCCTTCAAACCGAAACACAGCCATGCAAACACAAATGCTTTACGGTTGAAACACGAATGGGACAGAGGTACCCAAGCAATCGACTTTTGTACAAAATCTCCCTTTTGGTAAATTTGTAAGCAATACAAACATATGTTTATTTATATAATAATATCAGAAGAAATAGTTTTCAATTCAAATCTTAAAAGTAGACTAGGTTTGGGAAATTTTTAATTTAATTTCTTGCAACACTGAAAAATGGTGCGTTATCAATTTAGCTGACTAAATGTTGGCCTGTTTTTGACACTTGATGCTCTATCTATATAATTAAATGATCGCACTTAATAAAAAATGATCACTTTTGTCACTAAAAATAATCTCTTCGACGCAACCTTTAGATGGAGAGGAGCAATTTTTGGTATTTAGCGTATTACTTACTGAGTACCTAAATGTATGAAATGCCATCTCTAATCCTTACTAATATTATAAATATGAAAGTCTGTCTATTTATTACCATTTGGCAATCTTAGCATCCTTAACGGCTAAACAAATCGTCATGAAATTTAGTATAAACGTACTATTTATATACATAGATAGATACTCTTTATTGTCTCCTCCAAACGATTACAATAGTAAACTTATTATAAATATAAATAATTACAAGAAATAATCACATTTGTGAGAGAGAAGGATATAAATTATTTATTTTGCCATTCCTGAGAACTCAGATGTTATTCCTCTGTACCCAGTAAATTCACGCCATATCCCATCCTTCAAACCGAAACACAGCCATGCAAACACAACTGCTTCACGGACAATGGAAAGTTAACAGCTAATATGGGGGGAAAAGGGATTGTTAGTAATGGAGACTGAGAATCCCATTGCTAGCAATATACCCAACCAGGTCGACAGCCTCGCGGTTCCCCCTGGAAACTATCATGGTTAATTCCTGATGAATTCATCTCGATGGGCTAACTGGCCTGTTTTCATTCTCATCTATCACCTTTCACTGGTGCTCCGCCAGCGTATCCCGTTAGCGCAGGCGGGGTAACCGTACCATTTTCACCCATCAAAAAAAAAACAGCTAATATGATGACAATTAATATTGTACTTACCGGGACTGTCACGTTGATAAATCCCATAAGGCACGCACCACACAAAACCAGTAAATACTACGAAAACCAACACCGTAAACAATCTCATGGTGGTAAAAGGAACACTTCTTACTATTTTTCAAAGTTGACTTTCTTATAATCAACCTTTAATCCTGACCCCTTAAGAAGGTTTTGAGGATGTCCGAGGACAAACGGACAAACAAGGCATAGCCTAATTTGATGTCCGTTTCCCCCGCTTGATGGGATGCGAATGATACGACCTCAATTGTTTGAACATATTATATTAACTTGAATTATAAATCCTTTGACAATACCTAAACAATTAATACATATTTTTTCCTGTATATACAATTTATTTGCTCTTACACAATTTTGTGTTAAGCGAGGTTACTTTGCTCACTACTTAGTGCTCTCTCTTCCTCTTGTCGGTGCAACTAATTCATGCATCTTCTTCCAGCCAGCTCTCTCTCTCTCTTCGTCCTCTTCATTACTGAAGGTCGTGTCCTTGAAAGGTGTCTGTTGTCTCTCTTATGATGTTATTCCATTGTGCACGGTCTTCAGCCAGCGGGATAGAGATCCAGCCAGCTCTATCCCAGGCCATATCTTTGACCTCCCTATACGACATGATACCTAGTGTTAGGGACGAAGAGATTGTTAGTAATGCGGATTATCGGTCCCATTGCTAGCAATATGCCCTATTAGGTCAACCTCCACGTGGTTCCCCCTGGAAACCATCGTGAACAATTCTTGTTGAATTCGTCACGATGGGCTAATTGGCCTGCTTCATCCTCACCTATCATCCTATCATCGGTGTATACCGATAGCGCGGGTGAGGTTATAATTATATTATCACCCATTACAAAAAAAGTCCCATTGCTACATAACCGCATTTAAAGCGGTTAAGCTGTATCTGAGATTAAAGTGCACAAACGTACAGACAAACAGACAAAAATTCTAAAAATCATTGTTTTGTGTTCTATTGCGTTTGTAAAGCCCCGCTATAGTAGTTTTTCTTATATACCTTCCATGTACAGACAGCGACCAGTTACGATTGTATTATATGTATGAATTGTATTATATATTTATGATGTATGTGCCACTATAGGCAATTAAGCTGAATTCATCCTCGCATTTCATCCTTAACTGGTGCTCCTCTAGCGTAGGCCAATAGCAGGTACAATGATGACCATATGGAGGTGTTAATCCTGAAAAAGAATAGGGTGCAAAGGAGATATATGACACGTGAGTGCAAGGATCCCGTCGTCAAATTTCAAAGTCGTGTTTCAACCGTGAAGCAGTTGTGTTTGCATGGCTATGTTTCAGTTGAAGGGTGGGATATGGCGTGAATTTACTGGGTACAGAGGAATAACACCTGAGTCCTCAGGAATGGCAACGCATGGGGGGTATCATGAGCGAAACAGTATACTCTGTTATGTCCATGGCACTGCTCATGTCTATAGGCGACGGTTGCCACTTTCCATCAGGTGGGCCGTCAGCTTGTTTGCCATTCTAAGTTGTATTAAAAAAATTCTCTAAATTTGAAAGAACAGAATATTTTGTTTTTATGAGCCTTCATATTTATAATATCAATAGAATGTGCCGATTTGCAAAGACTTTTAAATGTTTAAATGGCTGAATGGATTGAAAAGATTTTGGCAAATAGACACTGTTGAAAATAAACCTCCCTTTTGGGAGGGTTTCGCCAGTTGTTGCCGCGTTTGGCGGGCAGGTTAGCGTTGGATTTTAAAAGGGACGTCGCTGCCCATTCCTCGACCATTAAGTTTCCTTAGAAGCCTCTTACGACACCCACGGGAAAGGAAAGAATGTCCCATTCTAGGCCGGGACCACACGGCTATACAAACACAAAATTCCATATGAACTTTTATTCTAATTCTCGTGAACAAAACCGGAGGTATTATATAACTAATTGGCATTAGCCGATGACTGGAATAAAACAAATATCATGTGGACATTATTATTTATTTTCACCAAATTATCAGACCTCTTAATTAACACATATTAGTAACATATTAGGGAAGTTACCGTTGCAAACGTGTTGTAGTAATTAAAACATTTCATTTATCAGACAGTATTCAAAACAGCATTATTTACTAGGCATGGGTAATACTCGTATGTGTACAGCTCCGATATCTATATATTGTATTACTTTGAACGTACATAGCGAAAAAAGTCATCAGCCATTTCAATATCGTTGGATATTTTTGGATAAAACTTTTAACATATACGTTATTAGACCAGTATATAGATATTGTTACTAAAATATATAGATATAGCTACTAAAATATATAGATATAGCTACTAAAATATATAAATATTCTCACTAAAATATATAAATATTGTCACTAAAATATATAAATATTGTCCTAAAATATATAGATATTGTTACTAAAATATATAGATATTGTTACCAAATTATATAGATATATTTACTAAAATATATAAATATTGTCACTAAAATATATAAATATTGTCCTAAAATATAGAGATATTGTTACTAAAATATGTAGATATTGTTACTAAAATATATAGATATAGCTACTAAAATATATAGATATAGCTACTAAAATATATAGATATAGCTACTAAAATATATAGATATAGCTACTAAAATATATAGATATAGCTACCAAATTATATAGATATATTTACTAAAATATATAAATATTGTCACTAAAATATATAAATATTGTCCTAAAATATATAGATTTTGTTACTAAAATATATAGATATTGCTGTACATTACCCACCCCTATCATTTACTATGGCTAGAACACTAAAATGAAATAGTTAATCAAAATGGGCTTTCAACTAGACATTGAGGACTATTAGTTTTTACCTCGTTAAATTTGTACAGAGTACGTACTTTCAGAGCAAACGTGACAGAGTAATGATTGCGCTATTGATAAAATCCTTTCGCCCGATCTCCACGTAGCATCTCTAGACACTATCACGTGAATTTCTCACAACCAGCCAACTGACGTGACTTCATTCTCCACATAGATTTTTCACCAACTTTACTAATAGATTTATTTTTTAATTTATTTAACTCTTTATTGTAGCAAAAATATATAAATAAACAATAACATATAAACAATTAAACTAAAATACAGTAACATGAAGTACAGATTAAAGTATACATACAAAAGACGGTATTATCGCTCGGTCAATCTCTTACAAACAACTTTTGGTTAAAGGAGAACGCTACATGTGATTTGTTTAATACATTTCATTATCATGTATTAAAAAAATTAATCACGTGTAGAACGTACAGTACTATTCGTCTTTTCTACGTAACAAGTCGATCATGCAGTGCATGCGTGACTTTCCTAGTTTCCTTTCCTTCGTTATACGCATGTGTCATTACTGCGTCGCATAATTAAATTCCCGCAGTATACGCTTCCTGGTATTATTGCTGTACAGAATGTTTTACAGTTTTGTCCCTAGAAAGAGTGTAAATACCTGCTCTAATTGAATTAAATTAAATAGAATGGATTAAATAGAATGAATTAAATTAAATATATATATATATATATATATATATATATATCGCTTTATTATTAAGTCTGTCAGGCAATAAAAATTTTATGAATGAATAGATAAAGCGACACAATTACACATACATTATTATATTTTAATTTAATTCTACTGCACAAAAATATTCAAATATTTCGTATGACGTCATAGTCATTACTTTACCAATGATACACAGTTGTGTCTATGGTTAATGAACTCAACGCTCTAATGTAAGCAAAAGTTGTAAAATATAGTTAGTCATAAGACTGTTGTGTAACTGTGGTGGAGTTGGGACTTATTTTGTACGGTACGCTTGCGTAAAACGGCCCTTAGAGTTATACCCGTGACGTACTTGTAAAGAGGTAAACAATATGAACATCTTTACACATTTTTTTTTTTTTATGTTCCTTAATATATATTACAATACAAGAGACCTAAAGAAGGTTTATTTTTAATGGGTGCTAATGGAATGGTAACCCCACCTGCGCTATCAGTATACGCTAGCGGGGTACCAGTGAAGGGTGACAGGTGAGGATGAAGGCAGGTCAGTTGACCCATAGTGACCAACAGAACAAGAATTAACAACAATGGTTTTCAGGGGGAACCGCGTGGAGGTCGGCCTGACTGCTAGCAATGGGGCTGTCAACTCTCACTACTAACAATCCTGTTCCCCCCAGTGAAGGACATTGGGTGAGAATGTAAAAGCAAGCAGAATGAAATATACTCTAAATTAAGGGCAATATGGCTGCTATTTCCCATTACTGACAATTCCACGCTGCGGCTGTTCGGCTCCGGCTGCACGGGTAGTAACTGTGATCTCTATTCCTTATATCCCTATCAAGTCAACTTCTACGTGGTCGCTGGAAAGGCGAGGCGGCTGTAGGCGAGAGCACTATTACAAATTTTTTATAACAATAATTTGATTTTAATTAATTTTCTTCATATATATATATATATATATATATATATATATATATATATATATATATATATATATATATATATATATATATATATAACGTTTCACGTTCAGAGCAATTTGTTGTCATTTAAAAATATCGAAAATAGTATTAGAAATGTTGTAATAGATTGTCACAGCTTATTATGTCTTAAAATCCTCTTCTGTCGTAATAAGGTAAATAAACCATTCAAATACATTTATGAACATATGCAATAATTACCACAACACGTTTAAAACAAGGAAATAGCAGCGATGACATGGAATCATTGGACGTTCATTTTACATGTTTCATTTAATCAGATATGTAAGAACAGCTACCCTACACAGCGTTTTTATTATAAACACACTTATACACTACATGATTAGTTTAAACTATCAGTACTGCTCGTTACCAAATGAAATCTATATGGACTTATCTATGTATTACATTTTACAAAATATAGTAAGGAACGCACTATGGTCACTGAAAGTCTGAATTAATTATTTGCCTTCATTCGCATAGTGCACCTTATAAATTTAATAATAAAGTAAAGAGACAGGAACGAGCGTATCTACACAAATATATAGTTATAAGATATATATTATTTAATCAGCTTGCATTTAAAAAAATAATTAAATTAAGTTAGCCTCCCGCCCTTGTCGTATTCATCTAACTACAACTACAAACACTCTTAGAAAAAAAGAACTGAAAATATCTATAAAAAACGCTAATTTTATTTAAAATATATATGTGTATTATATAAACATTTGACGACATATATAAATATTCTTGTTATATGAAATTATTATCTGTAAACGTTAGACTACGAGCATAGACAATTCAAAGATGGCGTCTGAAAAAAAACCGCGAGAACTTTTCGCGCGCACCATCACTAGTTCTAAATTCAAAGTTCCGATTACAAAGATATGTTGTCATCCATTTCATAGTTTGAAACAAGCGTTAGAAAAAATTATGTGTAACACTGATTTATTATCTATGTATAAATTTAACTGTTAAATTGAAAAAGAAAACAATTTAGGCCTACGCAGACGAGGACAATTCACGGGAACTTTTTTCCTAAAAATAAACTGTTAGAATTACAGTTACGCATTACATGAGAGACAAAAAGTATGGTTTCATTTTTAAAAGAAAAAGTTAAGATGTACCCACAGAAGTCTCGTCTGTGAAGGCTTTTTTAAGAAACGTGGTACAAAATACACTTAGTAAACCACTAATAAACCGTCCTCTAGAGTAAGTAAACACTTTGGATATTTTTTAATTTAAAAAAAAAACCGTTTTTTAACTAAGAGTTGACAACTGATACATTCAATAAGAAATATGTTATAAATACCTATTAAATTTCTCAGTATTTATGATTGAATTTAATAATAAATACATATTTATGTAAAGAAAAAAGTAAAAAGGAAAAACTGAGTAACGTTATATTGTCACACAACGTCTGTGGTCAAATAAACGATAGCCGTTTTACATTTTCGCAGCGTCGCAATACGTTCTGTAGCATATTGTATTTGGATACTGTATCCAAATCGTGTATCCAAACACTGTATCTAGGTGAGTACAATATCCAGACACAGTACCAATACACAAGTATATACATATACAGTATCTAGAGCTCCCCCAATGTATTAAAACATAATTCTGCCATAGACAATATTTTATACAATAGGCAAAAAGGTAAGGTTTGTTCGCCACTTAAGTTAATAAAAAAAAGTCGAAAAGTGTAGCTTACACAGAATAACAGCGCTGTGGCAGTAAATAGACTGGCATACCATAACGTTGAGTGCTGGCCATGTTACCAACTGTTACAAATTGATAATATTGTCTTTTTGTTTCTTTTTTTTAATGAACTTGATTGTCTATAATACTTTCCTTTCTTTTTTTTTTTTTTTTTTTTTTAATACGCTAGATTTAAAAACTATAAAATTAACCTTAAAAGGTAGTGTATTATCATTGTCATAATAACAAAAAAAGTTAGTCATTTCCCTTAGTCAATAAGTCACATACGTGTATGTAATATTATAAATATATAGATAGGTATGCACATTAAGGAAATGTATGAACCGTACAGACCTAACAGTTGCCATTCGGAATTATTTCAAAAAGTCACCAAGAGAGCGTCATCGGTGTTTCCTAATTTTTTTTTTTTTGGTTTTCCCCAACGAACAAGAGTCCCAAAATGATAAAATTTTAACCCTCCCATACTAACACGACATATGTATCATTAATAAAGGGGTCTAATGACCCCATTGCTAACAATATACACCATCAGATCGACCTCTACGCAATTCACCCTGAAGGTCATCGTGATTACTGATGAATTCATCACGACAGGCTAACTGACCTTTTTTTTTATACAACTTAGAATGGCAAACAAGCTAACGGTCCACCTGATAGAAAGTGGTAACCGTCGCCTATAGACATGAGCAGTACCATGGACATAACAGAGTATACTGTTTCGCCTATGGTACCCGCCATGCGTTGCCATTCCTGAGGACTCAGGTGTACCTCTGTACCCTGTAAATTTCAAGAGCATTCATATCTGTAATCCATCAAATTGTGGCAACGTCGCAGCTATATATATTAGGGCACTCGTATATCGAGATACCACTGTAGATACGACCTTTTTGCAAAACGTCATGCTGCAGTCTTTAGAGAATGCCTCTGCAGGAAGATTTTTCCACAACCTGATAATTCATGAGAGAAAGCTCCTTTGAAACGGCACTGTGCGTGACCTTTCTGGTCTTAGGTTGTAAAGCTGGATTCCCTACCGATGACGAGTAAATCAAATAGGTGACAAAATTTAACGGTAAATTTATATCTTTAATGGTAAATCGATTATTAAAGTTTTCATTCTTAGGCAGAGAAATATCTCTCTTTTTTAAATAACCAATTAAAAAAAACTACCGTTTTTGAAAAATGACGTACAAATGTGACGTTGCAACATAGGCGAATTGAGATGCTCCTTATTTTAAAAATTTTAGTGTTTGTAAATTCAAATTTAAACAGATTATTAAGTAAATTGTGGTTAATGCTCTTGATGTATAATAAATAACATAATTTACGTAATAAATGTACTACACAGTCAATAGGTATTCAATTTTGTTATAATCATTTTATTTACAATGAAATACGTAATATTCTGAAATGTTGTTAACCGATTTCGATAAAGGAGGTTCGCCGCCGACTAAGTCCTGTGTGTGTTACGCTGTATCTTTGTACTATTGTGAACAAATTTTATTTTCAATAAAAATCTGGCTGTATACCCATGGTTTTTTTAATGAGTGATAATGGAATGGTAGCCCAGTCTTGCACTAACGGTATACGCTGGCGAGGCACCAGTGAGGGATGAAAGGTGAGGATGAAAAGGTAGGTCAGTTAGCTAATCGTGACGAATTCCAATAGAATAGAATCCATTAGAATAAACCACGATAGTTTCCAGGGGGAAACGCGTGGAGGTCGGTCTGATAGGGTGTATTGATATGTTAGTCCCACACTCGCTTTTTTGCTGTTTACATTGATACAAATTTACAATTGTAAAATCAACTTTTGTTAAAAATAAGCGACAATTGAGTTTCTTGTCCATTCTTCTTAGCTAATATTGTATTACAAATGGGCGATAGTTGATAAAAAAATGACTATTCATTCAAAAATGCTTGTAAACAAGTTTACTTGAATAATAAATGTTCCCGTTCTTAATAGTTTTGCCAAATATCTTTTCTTAGAAATAAAGTCCTTAAATTGTACTTAATACAAGAAAATAAGAGGAGGATGCAAGCTCGTATTACTGTGATGGCCACATGGTTTGGTATAGTTTTATTTTTAGCTAGCCTACTTTACCGGTATACCATTCTGTGGTCTATTACCACCATTATTGTTGTTGTTTGTTTGCCATTCTAAGTTGTATAAAAAAAAATATACAATTAATATACTGAACTTATTATACATATGTATATAATAAGGTAATTCCCCATTAGTTAGTATTAAAATTACCCCCTTATTCATAAAAGCTATAATGTCCTACAAACCTATAATATTAGCCATTGGAGTCTTTTGTCCTTGTTTTTCGAATTGAGAAAATAAAAAGACAAAATACTTCATTAGCTAAAATAGGCTACACATTTAACATTTTTTTTTTGATACAACTTAGAATGGCAAACAAGCTGACGGCCCACCTGAGGAAAGTGGTAACTGTCGCCTATAGATATGAGCAGTACCATGGACATAACAGAGTATATTGTTTCGCCCATGATACCCCCCCATGCGTTGCCATTCCTGAGGACTCAGGTGTTATTCCTCTGTACCCAGTAAATTCACGTCATATCCCACCCTTCAAATCGAAACACAGCCATGCAAACACAATTGCTTCACGGTTGAAACACAAATGGGACAGAGGTACCCAAGCAATCGACTTTTGTAAAGTCTCCCCCTGGTGAACCTATGTTAAAATTGTATGATAATTATTTATTTAATCTACAAGTATATCCTTTTAGGTAAAAAAAGAATTGTCCAAATCGGTTCACAACCGACGGAGTTACGACGTAACAAACATAAAAACAAAACGAATTGTGAACCTCTCTTTAGAAGTCGGTTGGCAAACAGAAACAGTACCGGCCGCTAGCACGTGGGTACAGAGTGATCGCATGAACAGATACTACGTCACACTGACAGCTACACTGTGACGTCATTTATAACGTGAAACCACTGAATACCCAGTTATCTACACAAATAACAAACATGACCATTGTAATAATTATACTACATACAAACATACATACATACACACATACATATATACATACATACATACACACATACATACATATCTGTCATAAGTATTATACTGTATATATTTATTGAAAACTAGCAGTATCCCGCGGCTGCACTCGCATGAATTAGTATATAAAGTCTCCTACTACATATGCTTTTTATAGCATTTTATATGTGATTCTTTAAATTATTATAACTTTTTTATTTACGAACCGATTGAAATAAAACAAACACTAAATGTTAAGTGGAGAAAACCGCAACAAATTAATGAAACCGCATTCAAATTGGCCAATACGTTTCTGAGATTAGCGTGCACAAACGTACAAACAAACACAAAAATTCTAAAAATCATTGTTCTGTGTTCTATTGCGTTCATAAAGCCCACCTATAGTTGTTTTTCTTATATATCTTCCATGTACAGACAGCGACCGGTTACAATTTTATTATATGTAATGATATTACATTGATGATTACGACGCGATATCCAACTGCCAATAGGAAACGGTCAACACTCGTTTCCATGGCAACAAGCACCCGTCATTGACACTAAGGACATCTGTACTTAATATAGTAATATATGTATTTCGTATATATATATATATATATATATATATATTTGTATATAATAAACCATTTAACCAGCATGGTATAATAGGCCTAGCCATATTGAATTTGACGCTAATAATTTTATCATAAAAATTTAAACTTTTTAAAAGCTTATAAATTATCAGATTACTGTTTTTTTTTTTAATTTTTATTATAGGTTAGGCCTTATTTTTTATATGTTTAGATATGTATGTATAGTTTTAAAAAGTGCATAACGAAAATGTTGAAAAACAGTGCTGCAGGCGTTCATAGGCTACAGTGACCGTTTACCATTCGACGGGCTGTATGTTTGTTTATTTGTGGTATATAAAAAAAATGTAAATTTATTTTTTACAGTTTTTCAAAAAAATTAAATTTTTTGAAATAATATCTATACCCGAATATCTATACCCGTCAATGATAAAGATGACCTACCCCAAAATATTTTTTTAAATTTTTTTGACAATTTTTTTTTTATTTTTATTGTTATATATTTTTATATGTATTTTTCAATGCCAAATTTATAATTTTAAAAATACATACAACTTTAAATTTTCATCGTTTTACAATCAACCCCTGTATTTTAATCGCGATTTTAATATTTCGCAATAAGTGGTAAAACAACGTTTACGGGGTCAGCTAGTTATGTAATAAATTGTCAAGTGTCTAACCATTTCTTTTTTTTCTGTTATAAAAATTTTGTACAATTACTCACTGATATGTATTAATAAGATATTGTGTATAATTAATTATGGAATTAATTAAACAAAATATGACTATTATTATTATTAATTAGGTAACACCTTTTCACCTAATGGGGGTTCCAATGTGGTATTATGTATAATACCATAAATAAATTATACATATATTAGTATATCCATATATATCGAAGGCAATGTATATGTATTATATATATATATATATATATATATATATATATATATATATATATACGTATAATTATTTCAGTACGTACTATAATTATTTTACATATTTTTCACTACATTTGCCCTTCATACGCTTTCTGTTTTTACCCAATGATTAGCTGGTAGATAATGCCATGTGACATTTGGCTCGCCACTACAAAGTTTTATTGTGCAATAAATAAAAATATTAATTATTGTTTATGTAATTGAACAGTTGCCAACTCTATTGCTAATTATTAAAATATCACATTTACACGACGCGATTACGATTTACTCACTCGTAGAATCAGTGGCTCGGTTCTTGTAACGTTAACCGCTGTGCAGTCGTAGCTTATCGGTTGTAGCAATCATTCGTATCACCATCATTTAATGATGCCGATTCTAAATTCGTTCAATCGTGATACAATCGAATCATTTTTTATTTATTAACCTTTAGCGGTGACAATTGGTGAATGATTACCCCAGCCGAAAAGAAATGCAAATTTAAAGATTTACCCATTTATTCATAAAATCTGTAACAAATTCACAAACCTGTTTCGATTATTAGAGTGTTTTGTGTCTGTCAAATTAAGATTGTTAAAGCAAAAGGACAAAATAACTAAAATAGATTTATAACAAGTTTGACGTTGAAAAATGAGAGGGTTAAGCTACGTTAAGGATTAAGCTAAGAATCATACTTCTTCTGATATATACAGATAGTCAAAGTGATTTAGTCTCGTAAGAAAAGAATAAAGATATGTTATAGAATATATATCAAATTTTTTAGAGGTCTAATATTGTATATTCCAGTACCCAAATTGATTTTTCAACTGTGGTGAAATGGTACCCCAGTGCGTTTACTATGTTGGTATGAAAGTCGACCGTTAAGGGTTAACACGCTTATTCATAAAAACGTCAAACGTGTCGGAAAACCTATTTTAGCTATTTAAAATATTTTGTCTTATTCTTTTGTATTAATTTCTCGATGTGAAAGAAAGTGACAAAGCACTGTAACTGTTAAAAAAAAAAGGGTTTGTTGGAAGTAAGTTTTTATAAAAGGATTAATTTACAAATATTTCAAACTATTTATTGATATTCGATATTATTATAGATTTTTAAATATATCTTTATATATTTAAAGTCAGCACAGTACAGAGAAACATATTTGGAGACATTATTTCGTTTTACGGTTAACAAGTCATTTGACAGGTGACGTGTATAAAAACCGGAATTTTTACGGTTTACCTTTACGAGAATCGAACCACTGGATAGAACGTGTTACGGTTTAATTTGTTGATATGTAAGCCATTAAAGAGTTCAGTGGAGCAGTTATTCTGAAACACTTTACAAAATCAAGTTTATAGTATAAATGTTAAGTTTCTATGACGGTTATATTGATATGATCGACATTACATTAGTTGATCTAATAACTAGTTAGTGCTTCTGTATTGTCTCGCAAAGTGAATACAATCGGAAACCTTTTTTTACATTTCATAATTCTATCTATAAGTGTGAGGGAGAGGACAACATTACAATTAGGCATGGGTAATATGGATAACGATCCGATATCTATATATTGGGTTTCTTTGGACATTAATGGCGGAAACAAGGTCATCACCCATTTCGATATCGCCCATATCGGACGGATATTTATTTTCAAATATATATCTGTTATTCAATATAATTTTTTTGAATAACAGACTTTTAACATATTCGTTATTGGACCAATATACAGATATTGTAACTAGTACAGATATTGCTGCATATTATCCACACCTAATTATAAGACGCTGAATATGTATTAGTGGGAGAGAGATGAAGACATCACAAGATCTTAATATCTCCCTTATTAAGAAATGAATCGTCACGAAAAATGTAACAAGCACACATTGAGAAATCTTTCTTTTTTTTTGCATATAAACATTTCAAAATAATGTATCTGTGTGCGTGACAGTCTCAACGTTTATGTGTATTATAAGAAATATATATTTAATGAAATAGTCGTCACTGGAGCACTAATAGATATGTCATAACGTGCTTACAACATCTATATTGCGTTGATCGTACATTCATTTACAAATATTAAAATATTTTTTTTAACGTATCAAGATAAATCATATGATATATTTAATGTCTAAAGAAAATGTATGAGAGACGTTATAATTTGTATTTCATATTACATGGTAAATTTTGATTTTGAAAATGAAAATCTGTGTTTATGGATTTTCTAACATAACAGTGTACTTACGTGGATGATAATTGTATGTAATTCCCACAGACATAGATAGAGACAGATGACGTAAATTATTTTTGTATTAGAAGTTTTATATTTACACAATTGAAATTGGTTATATATAATATTACGCACTTATACGGAGGTATACATTTGACAGCAAACCCCATTTATAACAAAAATTTATAAGAGCTGTAAACATTTTTAATAAATCTCATGTAGGAATCGCGAAATTAATTCATCCGGTGTCCAAGTAGATTCTTTTGAGCAAAGTCATTTTAGCAAAAAAAAATTGTACATAGTCAAATGAATGCTAACTACACCGTTCACACAAGTAAGTAAGTTCACACATGTCGAGCATTCTCGAAACTAATATTTTACGATGTGTCGTAACAGAAACCTCAGGGAATTCACCATATAATAACAATTCAATACAGCGAGATAAAACAAGAAGAAAAACTTTGGTATACTCATAACACAGCTATCTTTACGTCCCTGAGCTAACAGTAAATTCAAAGTCCTAAAATGCCACCGATAAAATAGTTGCCTTTACTCCATCTGTTTCAATTCATATCTGTGGTAATCTCTCATACATTTTCCTTAGTAATAATTATGAAGATTAATGATAAATTTATTAATAAATTCAGCGTATCTTAGGCGCAGATCGGTCGTTGCAGTGTTTGTTGCGACGCAACGTCGCGCCGCGTTTGATTTGTTCCATCAGGGACGTGTGGCACACGCGTGGATCCGGCTGCAATCATTTTAACTGTATTAATTATAAAATACCTTACCTACTGTTTCATCATCATCATCTTCCTACCCTTGGGATTGATGTAATACGTTCTTCTCTTTCATTCTTCTCCATTCAGAGTCATCTCCGCATTCACTCCATTCTGGCCATATCATCTTTCATACACATCTCACCTATTAATTCATCTTACTAATGTTATTAGCAGACCATAGATAAAGGAAGGAGCCTTCCTTTTCTGTGGGCGTTGTAAGAGGTGACTAACGGAGTTTATTGTGGAGGAATTGGCAGCAGCCTCTCTCTTAAAACATCACCAAAGGCCTAACTGTGCCAAACCGTCTGTCGAGCGTGGCAACTGCTGGCAAAACGTCCTCTAATGGGAGAGTTTATATTCAGCAGTGGATAGTTAACGCCTAATGATGATGATAATACATTAAGTAGGTAAGGGTGAGTGTGATGTAGTAACAGAGGGAGACTGTACAAAAGTCTATTGCTTGGGTACCTCTGTCCTATCTGTGTTTTAACCGTGAAGCAGTTGTGTTTGCATGGCTATGTTTCGGTTTGAAGGGTGGGATATGGCAGTGACTTTACTGGGTACAGAGGGATAACACCTGAGTTCTCAGGAATGGCAACGCATGGGGGGTATCAAGGGCGAAACAGTATACTCTGTTATGTCCATGGTACTGCTCATGTCTATTAGCAACGGTTACCACTTTCCATCAGGTGGGCCGTCAGCTTGTTTGCCATTCTAAGTTGTACAAAAAAAATTGAAAACATTGCCTTCTTTTTTGAAGAAAATTTATTAAAAAAAATATATTAAATCGTGAGATATAGAGGCGTAAGTTGCAAGTGCGGGTGCGGGTGCGGGTGCGGGTGCGGGTGTTGGTGCGGGTGCGGGTGCGGGTGTTGGTGCGGGTGCGGGTGCGGGTGCGGGTGTTGGTGCGGGTGCGGGTGCGGGTGGTGGTGCGGGTGCGGGTGCGGGTGCGGGTGTTGGTGCGGGTGCGGGTGCGGGTGCGGGTGCGGGTGCGGGTGCGGGTGCGGGTGCGGGTGCGGGTGCGGGTGTTGGTGCGGGTGAGGGTGCGGGTGCGGGTGCGGGTGCGGGTGCGAGTGCGGGTGCGGATGCGGGTGTTGGTGTGTGTGCGGGTGTTGGTGTGTGTGCGGGTGCGGGTGCGGGTGTTGGTGCGGGTGCGGATGCGGGTGTTGGTGTGTGTGCGGGTGTTGGTGTGTGTGCGGGTGCGGGTGCGGGTGTTGGTGCGTGTACCTGCGCGCGCGCGTTGATGCGGTCGCGCACGGCGCCGGCGCGCGAGGCGGGCGCGGCGTGGCGGCGCTGCAGCGTGGCCGACAGCTTGTCCAGGAACGCGGCCTGCGCCGCCGCCGGCGCCGCGCCTGCGGGGGCCACTCACGTCACATACGGGACAACCTCGCTAATGCCAACTACGCACTCTGGCGGGAACAGGTATTGTTAGTAATAGGGTCTAACTGCCCCATTACTACTAATACACCCTATCAGTTCGACCTCCACGCGATTCCCCCTGGAAACCATCGTGAACAATTCTTGTTGAATTCGTCACGATGAGCTACCTGACCTGCTTCGTCCTCACCTATCATCCTTCACTGGTGCCCCGCCGCTGTTTACCGATACCGCGGGTGGGGTTACCATTCTATTATCACCCATAAAAAAACCGCCTACTCTAACCTAAGGGCGTCTGCAACACTAGAGGTGTCACGTGCGCGTTACCAACCCTGAACAAATCTTAATACACTCTTTGAAGAACCCCAAACTGTAGTCTTTAAGGAAAACCTCATTACACAGCTTGAGCGTCCGTGAGGGAACACTCCTTTAAAACCAAACTGCACGTGACCATTCTGAATCAAGCGTTTGAGGATGAATTTATTCCTAATCTCTGTCGACTTTAATGAGTTAGTCCCGCTATTAATGAAATATGAACCCAATATATAGATATCGGAACGATATCTATATATTGGGTTCATATTTAATCGAAGAAACATACGACTCACACACGCGCACGCGTTCACATTCGTATATACCTGTAGGGTCGCTCTTGAAATAAATTCAAGTAGATCGATATTGGAATTGAGAACTCACACTCTTGAATTGCGTCACTTATCACTAACGACATAATGGTTCCATACTGTTCTGATAGATGCATATTAGTGTAACTTGCCAATGCAAACTATTGTAAACCGATCCCAATTACAGCTAATTCCTAACTGTTGTTACATGAGTGCAGTATTGTCATTAGCAATAGATTTGGATTGAGATCGATGTTGGATTCAAAAGTTATCCTATTGTTTGTTTATTTGTTTGTTTATTGATTATTATTATAATTTAATTGCTTTCTATTTATATACAATTTTTTTGTGTTTTGTTTTGGTTTCTTTTGTTCTTGTTTTGTGCGCTACTATATGGGACGCATGCTTCTTCGATTCAATTATTTTTTTCTTTTCTTTCATATCTGTATTAACCAGTCCTCACCTATCATCTGTCACTGGTAACCCATTGTAACCTAATAATGCAGGCGAAATTACCCATTTTCCATTTCGAATAGTTTAAAGGACCTGCGATGTTACCACATAAAAGACACATTGATTTAAACGAGAAACTTATGGAGCTACCGAAACAAAATAAGCATCATCGAGCAAAGGCCAATTAATAACTTTAAGTTACAACAGAACATAATATAAAACAGTACTTCAATTTACAACTTACAAAAGTACATACATTCTAAAATTTAAAATTAAATTACAAAACTAAAAGACTTTAGTGCAAGTTTCACACCAACTTTTGTGAGAAACTGATGCCGGTACTAGGATACTCTGTCTTACAGAAGAGAACGCTATCTAATCTAGTCCATTCTCTACGAGACTTACCTTTCGTTTTCGGTGGTGAATCGGCTGCGGTGATGGTCGATATGGCGCGGCGGGTCGTTCTCGGTGACAATTGAGGTGCTAGTTTAGCGCTTAAACTTGCTATTAAGCCACCTTCTGCAAGACAAATTTATAATTACTTAATAATGGTTACTGTACGTATTAAGAAATTAAGTTTTGTACAAAAGATATCTGTTTGTCCGAACAGATATCTTTAGTCTTATCTTCACTCCAACTTTTGTAGTAACATCTATCGCAACTATGAAATAGTTGAACCGATTTTAAGGCTGAGAAATGGCATTTTACAGATTACTGGACGTGTTATACGGAGGTATAACACAGTGGACATATGAGCGAGGTAAATACTAACGGTAGACATGTGAGCGAGTCGATGGGCGGTGTGTACCCCCGGTGGGCGTGTGTGTGGGCGGTGTGTTCCCCAGTGGGCGTGTGTGTGGGCGGTGTGTACCTCCGGTGGACGTGTGTATAGGCGGTGTGCCCAAGTGGGCGTGTGTGGGCGGTGTGTACCCCCGGTGGACTTGTATGTGGGCGGCGTGTACCCCAATAAGTACCTCGGGGTGTGTGTAGGCAGTGTATATCCGCGGTGGGCGTATGTGTGGGCGGTGTGTACTCCCGGTGGGCGTGTGTGTGTGGGCGGTGTGTATTTTTTTTAATGGATGACAATGGAATGGCAACCCCGCCGGCGCTAACGGTGTACACTGGCGGGGCATCAGTGAGGGATGATAGATGAGGATGAAAAGGCAGGTCAGCACGATGGTTTCCAGAGGGAACCACATAGAGATCGACCTGACAGAGTATAATGTTAGCAATAGGACTGGTAGTCTGCATTACTAACAATCCCTTTCCCCAGCATGGCTTTCGTCGGCGTGTGTGTGGGCGTGCGTGCGGGCGGTGCGTACTCGCGGCGGGCGTGTGTGTGGGCGGTGTGTACCCCCAGTCTGCGTGTGGATAGTGTGTACTCTCGGTGGGTGGTGTGGGCGTGTGTGCGGGCGGTGCATACTCGCGGCGGACGTGTGTGCGGTGCGTATTCGTTATAGGCGTGTGTGTGAGCGGTGGGCATGTATGTGTGTGTGAGCGGTGGGCGTGTATGTGGGCGTGCGTGTGGGCGGTGTGTACTCTCGGTAGGCGGTGTGGGCGTGTGTGCGGGCGTGCGTACTCACGGTCGGCGTGTGTGTAGGCGTGCGTACTCACGGTCGGCGTGTGTGCGGGCGTGTGTGCGGGCGTGTGTACTCACGGTCGGCGTGTGTGTGGGTGTGTGTACGGGCGTGCGTACTCACGGTCGACGTGTGTGTGTGGGCGTGCGTGTGGGCGGTGTGTACCCCCAGTCTGTGTGTGGGCGGTGTGTGCTCTCGGTAGGCGGTGTGGGCGTGTGTGTGGGCGTGTGTGCGGGCGTGCGTACTCACGGTCGGCGTGTGTGTGGGCGTGTGTGCGGGCGTGCGTACTCACGGTCGGCGTGTGTGTGAGCGTGTGTACGGGCGTGCGTACTCACGGTCGACGTGTGTGTGTGGGCGTGCGTGTGGGCGGTGTGTACCCCCAGTCTGTGTGTGGGCGGTGTGTGCTCTCGGTGGGCGGTGTGGGCGTGTGTGCAGGCGTGCGTACTTACGGTCGGCGTGTGTGTGGCGGTGTGTGGACGTGCGTGTGGCGGTGGTACTCACGGTCGGCGTGTGTGTGTGGCGGTGTGTAGGCATGCGTGTGGCGGTGGTACTCACGGTCGGCGTGTGTGTGTGGCGGTGTGTGGCATGCGTGTGGCGGTGTGTCGGCGTGTGTGTGTGGCGGTGTGTAGGCATGCGTGTGGCGGTGGTACTCACGGTCGGCGTGTGTGTGTGGGCATGCGTGTGGCGGTGTGTAGGCGTGTGTGTGTGTGTGTAGGCGGTGGGCGGTACTCACGGTCGGCGTGTGTGTGTGGCGGTGTGTAGGCATGCGTGTGGCGGTGGTACTCACGGTCGGCGTGTGTGTGTGGCGGTGTGTAGGCATGCGTGTGGCGGTGGTACTCACGGTCGGCGTGTGTGTGTGGCGGTGTGTAGGCATGCGTGTGGCGGTGGTACTCACGGTCGGCGTGTGTGTGTGGCGGTGTGTAGGCATGCGTGTGGCGGTGGTACTCACGGTCGGCGTGTGTGTGTGGCGGTGTGTAGGCATGCGGTGTGTGTGTAGGCATGCGTGTGGCGGTGGTCGGTACGTGTGTGTGGCACGGTCGGCGTGTGTGTGTGTGTGTGGCGGTGTGTAGGCATGCGTGTGGCGGTGGTACTCACGGTCGGCGTGTGTGTGTGTGTAGGCATGCGTGTGTACTCACGGTCGGCGTGTGTGTGTGGCGGTGTGTAGGCATGCGTGTGGCGGTGGTACTCACGGTCGGCGTGTGTGTGTGGCGGTGTGTAGGCATGCGTGTGGCGGTGGTACTCACGGTCGGCGTGTGTGTGTGGCGGTGTGTAGGCATGCGTGTGGCGGTGGTACTCACGGTCGGCGTGTGTGTGTGGCGGTGTGTAGGCATGCGTGTGGCGGTGGTACTCACGGTCGGCGTGTGTGTGTGTCGGTGTGTAGGCCTGCGTGTGGCGGTGGTACTCACGGTCGGCGTGTGTGTGTGGCGGTGTGTAGGCGGTGGTACTCACGGTCGGCGTGTGTGTGTGGCGGTGTGTAGGCATGCGTGTGGCGGTGGTACTCACGGTCGGCGTGTGTGTGTGGCGGTGTGTAGGCATGCGTGTGGCGGTGGTACTCACGGTCGGCGTGTGTGTGTGGCGGTGTGTAGGCATGCGTGTGGCGGTGGTACTCACGGTCGGCGTGTGTGTGTGGCGGTGTGTAGGCATGCGTGTGGCGTGGTCGGCGTGTGTGTGTGGCGGTGTGTACTCACGGTCGGCGTGTGTGTGTGTGTGTGCGGTGTGTAGGCATGCGTGTGGCGGTGGTACTCACGGTCGGCGTGTGTGTGTGGCGGTGTGTAGGCATGCGTGTGGCGGTGTGTAGGCATGTACTCACGGTCGGCGTGTGTGTGTGGCGGTGTGTAGGCATGCGTGTGTGTGTGTGGTACTCACGGTCGGCGTGTGTGTGTGGCGGTGTGTAGGCATGCGTGTGGCGGTGGTACTCACGTGTGTGTGGCGTGTGTGTGTGGCGGTGTGGCGGTGTGTAGGCGGTGTGTAGGCATGCGTGTGGCGGTGGTACTCACGGTCGGCGTGTGTGTGTGGCGGTGTGTAGGCATGCGTGTGGCGGTGGTACTCACGGTCGGCGTGTCGGTCGGCGCTATGCGAGCGCGCGGCGAGCGAGCGGCGCGCGGCGAGCGGGCTGAGCGCGTCGTGGCGCGCCATGCTGTTGAAGCCGGCGATTATCTGCGACGGCTGCGCGTATATAGTGTTGCTTTGACCGTATTTTTTCTCTTGTTGTAGTTTGAATCCTGTAAAAATTATATTCATCTTTAATTAATGATAATTATATATTTCTCCTAGTAATAAAAATGCTTTAGTAGTGAATAGTACATTACTGCAGCGGCCAGCAACTGAGGCATTGATGGACGAACGTGCAAATGTGCCCCGAAGCGTAGCCGAGGCACACATATGTGAGTCCATCAAAGCCTAGTTGTGGCCAAGGCTTGTATAGTACTTTTCTCAAACAATGCGCGGAAATCAAAAACACAATTTAAATTTTTAATTTTAATGACGAATAACGAACAATAATAATTTTTCACGCGCCATAATGTTCCTTTTTTTTTTTTTCAATAAACAGTTTTCTATTTGCAAGCCAGTTCGAAATTTAAATGAAACCTTGTATTAGTTACCTCCTTGGTAGCCATGTTTCGAAGTAAAGGGTCATTCCATTTTTAAATTACAGGACAGATATGAGTTTACATAGTAATTTATCTGGCCGCACAAATATGGATTCTCATACAACTTTTGCCAGCCGCTGCCCGCATGTATCTGGCCAGTACGGCAATTTTGATTTATCTCTAAGAAGATTGTTAAAATAATGCTCATATTTCCAAGCATGTTTGAGAAATTAACAATGATTAGTGTGTTGATGTGACAAAGTTTTGTCTGTATTCGTTCTATTCGTCTTCTATTCGTTCCAATTACCTCGCTGCAAAGGATCATATATTTCGTACCTTAAAAAAAAAACGTATAAAAAGTAATGATTTTCAATATCGACATGTTTGTCTTACCAGTTTGTCCGTAATGCGATTCATTAGATACTCTTGGTCCGAAACTGGAAAACGAATTGTTCTCCCCGTAACTGGGCGTAGAGGGACTGGAGCCGTGCGGTGATCCGCCTGCAATATGCATACACATGTTACATGTACTAAATTATTAATAAACTTTTTTTTTAAATAAACCAAAGAGTACTATTTTTCAATAGCATTACTTGCAGTAATAACTATTATATTTTAATTTCCTTTTCATGCACACACTGACTATATATGTAAATCTAAGGATTTATTTGCTACAGCTTAGAATAACGAACAAGCTGATGGCCTACTTGATGCAAAGACTAGGCAGACTGTACAAAAGTCGTTTGCTTTGGCACCTCTTTCCCATTCGTGTTTCTACCGTGAAGCAGTTGTGTTTGCATGGCTGTGTTTCGGTTAGAAGGGTGGGATACGGTAGTGAATTTATAGGGTATAGAGGAAAAACACCCGAGTCCTCAGAAATGGCAACGCATGGGGGGTATCATGTCTGAAACACGTATTAATACACTACTACGTCCTAGAAATACTCTATTACGTCCATGGTACCTGTTCATGTCTGTAGGCGACGGTTACCGCTTTTCATCAAGTGGGCCGTCAGCTTGCATTCCGTCATTTTAACTTGCATAAAAAAATATCTACACATCCACGTTACGTAAAAATACATACCTGCGTTCCCATCTCTGAACAGATCCGAATTTGAGCTATTTAAACTATTCTTTCTCACGTATACCGAATTCTCCACGTAGGCCATGATTCTGTGCCCTGTCTGCCCGTATATAGGGTTCAAATTGCCAGTACTGTTCAGACTGGTGTTTGATGAGAAGTTACTCTTCGCTTGTTGGAAAGTGCTCAGCGACGGTTGGTTCGCATTTGTCTGATTCGTCTGATTCATTTGGCTGGACTGGTTCGTCTGGCTGGTCTGGAGCTGTTGAAGGCTGCGTCTGACGAGACCGGGGGAGGCCGGCATGTGTTTCAATTCGGTTAGTTGTTTTACAGTTTCAGCCACGTTTATGGATTGGTGTCCTAGAAATTTAAGAACTTATAGTTACCTTTCTTATATCAAGACAGTGAGCCCGATGGATGTTAATATTAACCTTAGCCTAGAATTGAATAATTATGCTCAACTCGAACATTCTCTGTAATAATCCAAAATGGTGTTTAAAAAAAATCTATTTCAGCTACAGCAAAACCAGCTATTTTGATATAAAACCTAAACCATTGAACCTAATTTGATAAAATATAGAACTCATTTGTATAGTATATACCAGGATTGGCCGACTTGACTAGATCCAAGATCTACTGTCTATTGACGAAACCCTGTGCGATCTACCAATTACATATTTCTTGAAATTTCAAATGAAACAACACAGTTCAGTACACAATTATGTAGTATTGTAGTATTTTTTTGTTTCATTAAAAGAGAAAACTGAAAATTATTCTCAGTAACTACTTATTTATATTAGTGTGGGCATTGCGTCTGAGCATCTTCCGATAGATTTTTTTTATGTCTTCTGCGTGGTTGTCGTAAGAAATGACTAAGGGAACTTAATGATCGAGGGATGGGCAGCAGCGTCCCTCTTTTAACATCACTAAAACCTAACTGCAACCCACAAGCGTGGCAACTATTGGCAAAAACCTCCAAGGGGAAAGCCTATATTTAGCAGTGGACAGTTAATAGTTGATATGTTATGCCAATAAAAGGAATAATAACTAAATACTTTATTTTATACAATTTAACAAGCAAATTTTATCTATTTAGAGGTATATAGTAATTATAGTTATTAATATTAATATAGAATTTAAATTTAAAATAAATTACCCGCATTTTCGTTATCTGGTTGCAGTAAAAATGCCGGCGGGGGCGGGAGGTTGTCGGTGTCCGTTGAGCCCATCTGTGGGCTTTGTAAGTTGCCCTAAAAGAAAAATTAAAATAAAGATATCAGATGTAAGTTATTTTTAAATTGATGAAATGAATGGAATGGTGACCCCATCTGGCGTGGACTATTTTTAAGTGTAAACAATAGTTTAAATTTTGCGTGCTTATTTCAAGGTCATAAAAAGTCCTTACTAATATCATATAAATGTAAGTGTGATTTTGTTTATTTGTTTGTTACTTCTTAGCTCCTTAACGACTTAACCCAAGCGTATCTCGATCGTAATTGGGACAGAAGAGAGAAGGTATTTTTAGTATCGGGGATACAAATCCCCGATACTAAAAATCCCTTGCTAGCAATATACCTTGTCAGGTCGACTCCCACGCAGTCCCCCCCCCCCCCAGGAAATTATCGTGGTTAATGTTTGACCAAACGTCACGACCAAACAAGTGACGTGCTTTCAACCATCACTGATGGCTCGTCAGCGTATACTAATAGCGGGAGCATTAGTTACCATTCCATTATAAACCCATAAACAAAATACCTGGCCATAAGCAGGTCGCTGCGGCCTCGATATGGACGAGGACCTTCGCACCGGCGGCGGCGGCTTCCCGAGCGAGCTTGATGAGCCCCGACGAGACCAAACTGTCGCTGTCAACATAATAAACATCATTTTTTACTAATAAACTATTCGCAAAAATAAAGGGATATTAAAAAATCCAAATTTTTGGATGAATTTCAACAACGGATAAACCGGAAAGGTCAGCGATCGTGCAAAACAGAAGCATTGGGTCACCATGATTGATTAGTTGATATGAATTTTAAAACAAAACACATACAGTAAAGTTACATAGAAATCTAATGCAATCTAGGTGTATAATGTAATTTCTGTACAGTAGAATCTCAATTATCCGAACATCGATTATCCGAATATTCGGTTATCCGGACTTATTGTTCACGGCTCTCATTACGGATATAGAAATAGTATTATGTATTAATTAGGTAAATAGATTACGTTATCCATTATCTTTGTAGATCGTAATTTTTTTATATCGTATTTTCTAAACGACGTATGTTTACATAATACTACCCTTTACATAATAAAAAAAATATTAAATTATTGTTTGACTTTCCAATCGATTATCCGGATTTTCCATTATACGGAATACTTCTGGTTTTATTTGATTCGAATAATCGAAATTCTACTATATAGAAATTTAGTTTACATTTATTTTATTGGGAAAAAATTTAATAATCAAAATTTTGGAAGTTTTCGTAATTTGTATTCATTCTTCTTCTCTAATTGTATTTGACGGACATCTCGTTACGTCATTGCTTCGTATGACTAATTTGTAATCTGAATTTCTGTTTCGTGATTCGTAATAAGAAAATAGTTTCCAATGATTGGTTTTCACTTAAAATATATCGTAACTTCAATACGGGAAAATCCGAACCTACACTTTGTAATAATGAATACACTCGATATCCACGCAATTACAACCCAATGCGGCAGGGGGAAAGGGATTGTTAGCAATGAAGTTTGACAGCCCCATTGCTAGCAATATGCCTTATTAGGTCGACCTCCACGTGGTTCCCCCTGGAAACCATCGTGAACAATTCTTATTGAATTCGTCACGATGGGATAACTGACCTACTTCATCCTCACCTATAAAAAATCACTTCATTTCTTCACTGGTGCCCCGCCGGTGTATACCGATAGCGCGGGTGGAGTTACCATTCCATTATCATCCATAAAAAAAAACCAATGCGGCACCGTTGTCGATTTCAAGCGTACCATATAAAGTTTTGTTTTTATTAATATTGTGACTGGACATTGGAATTGTGGTAATTATTTTGGAATAAGCATGCAGATCACACGGTCTACAGAGTTCCAAAGGTGGCAAACAAGCATACGCCCCACCAGATGGTAAGCTGTTACCGTAGCCTATGAACGCCTGCATAGCAGGGACATTACACGCGCATTGCCGACCCTAAAGAACTAAACCCATGCTGTAATTTCTTGGAAAAACAAGATGGAAAAACGGCGCACACTGGCTTTGCTAACATCAGGGGACGTTTGTTACTCTACAGTCTAGTATATTAAAATTATTAATTTGTTTATATTTTTATTAAGTTCTATTGAAACAGACTATGAGTCGTTTATACCAAGACTGTTTTACAGCACATTTTTAACACTTTACATATATATGCATTTATGTAAAAACTTTTGGCGCGTTCCAGGACCCACCTGCCATCGAGACGGGCCGCCGTTTGGGCACCGCCGGCTTCTTGCCTATAGTGGCGAAGGGCGGACTGTCGGAGGCCTCGTCCAGCGACCTCACAGCTTCTTCTAGACTCCCGAGAGAGATAGAGAAGCTCTCGCGAGCGGCCGCGACTTGCGCGTCGCAATCTCGTCTCAACGTCACGATCTCGGATTCGACTATCGTGCAAATGGAAATGCATGCGAAGCGAAATTAAACAAAAAAAAATGTAATAAAAAAAAATATGATATGATGATTGAATGCATTGTATTCGAATAGTTCCTACATACTGTATCAGACTCGATAGAATACTATCAAGATCACGCGGAATTGCGTGTAAATGTAAAGATTGTTTTAAAATTGAACAGGCAAAGAGCATGGCCCATACAGCCTAGTCATATGTTAAAAAATGAGGAGAAAAATATTTTAACCGTAATGTAGTAAATAATAAATATATAATAGAGAATAGAAGAGGCAAAATGCTGGGCCACCTTATACGACATGACGATTTTTTTAAGAGCATAATAGAAGGAAAGATAGAGGGCAAGAGAGGAAGAGGAAGACCGAGGATTAACTACATGGGACAGATAAAGGAAACACTAGGCGTCATGTCGTATAGGGAGATAAAGGATATGGCCTGGGATAGAGCTGGCTGGAGGAAGATGCATGAATTAGTTGCACCGACAAGAGGAAACTCTTAAATGAAAATGAAATGAATGTAGTAAAGATATTAGAAGTGTTTTTTTTTTTAATACTTTATTTTATTCCCAAAGAGGGTTGACGTCAGGCAGGCGGCCGGTCGTAAAACTATAAGCCAAATCTTTTTGTAATATAGATAAAACATATTACGCCGACCCCAAATAATAATTGGGATAAGGGTAGGATGATGATGATAATGATTTTATTTTACTCGCAATTATATGGAATCATCGAGGAGAGAGTCCACTTTACTTTATCCTGGTTTTTTTTTTCTCAATTTGTGCAGTTATCCCTAATTAAAGATTCGAAAACAATACATTTCAATATAAACAAAAAAAAAATGTGTATAAATGCACTAAAAAGGCGATGATGTTCGAAACAATACATACATGCATCTATTTCACGCACACACTCACAACAGCTAACATGTAAATGTACAGTCAACATTAAATTTATAGCTAATAAAAATATATTTATTATTTTGTTCAGTATTTATTTTTATAAATTTAAATTATCTTAATAAAAAGAAAGAAACAAATATTTTTATTTGAGTCAACATAGATTTAAGCATTTTTGAGTAGAAATGTATTTTCATTACGGCCCATTCTGAACGCAATTTCAGTCAAGAAAAATGAGCTCAAAACTTAACTGTCGCTTTTTTAAAAAAAAATTAATAATAGAAATAATGAATTTGTATTATTAAACAAAAATATTTAAGCAAAAAAATTTATTGCATTTTTTTTTAGAGTACCTGATATCTTGGTTTAATTATGGGCTAATTATGATATCTTTTTACGTTAAACTTTACTCCTGTGTAGATGTAGATACATATAAATTTACTTACAACTGAAGACATTTTTAAAGAATAAATTATTTTAGCACAGATTCTATTACAATTAATACTGTGCACAAAACATAATAAAAACTCCTATAAAATTAATCGTAATATGAATAAAAAAAAATATTGCTATAATTTATTAGTAGGCGTAATGAAATTTTTTGCCACATTGTTATAAAACATCAAAAAATGTCTATGAGTGTACATGTATAGATCTAGCATTAAAATTGATGCTGACTGTACTGTATTATAAAAAAGAAACAAACAATGTACACAGACCTACAATGAAAGAGAAAGGCCACGCGAAAAGCTACACTACCATGTGAAAATATAAATCTTAACATCCTCAAAAAAGCAACTATATTTTTAAGAAGATTCTTAGAATTATTGATTTAATCCTTTGTATTTTATCTAATTTCAGACATATAACTAATATAATAAGGTTCAATATTACTTAGCACGAACAATGTCGCTATATACCTTTACCTTCAAATCGGTGTTAGTATTATAAAAAAAAAAATTACTCTCGCGTGGCCTATCTAATGTCGCACCTATTACTAACACTATAAGATCGAATATTACTTACCATCAACACTTATACACTTATTATATCTATATACCCTATACGATTTAGTATCAATACTATAATAAAAATCAACTACTTATACATATACGATCTAATTTAGTATCTATAATTAACACAATAAAGTTCGACATTGCTTACCATCAGCCTGTTGCGCTTGGAGCTGATGGGCGTGCTCCTCAGCAGCAAAGGCACCTTGACTTCCGTACCCACTCGAGGACTCCAGCGAGGATTCACTGGCGCTACTCTCTGAACACACCTGTAACCAAAGACAAAAATATTACTATTGATGGAGATATAATGGACTCATTGCTACAATGTTCCCTGCCGAGTCTCCCTAGCATGAGCATTAGCATGTTCTTCAAAAAGGGTATATTAAGGTTTTTTTTTGGTGGATGAAAATGGTATAATAATATTCTTACGAGACACATGGGAAAGGAAGAGGTAGCCCGTCCTATGCCTGGACCACACGGCATAGAACGGGCCAGCCCTTTCTTAAATAATTATATTTGATTTTATTTAAAAAATAACCACCCGGAGCCACCAAATTAGTTTTAGAATAAAATCAATAGAGAATCACATTTTTTGAAGTCGGTTAAATATAGCTGACTACACACTTTATCACGCTCTACGCCTTGCAGTTACCAATTAATCGACTAGTATTTTTTGTTTTTATTAGTGACTAGCTTTTGCTAGCGACATTGCATACATAAACCTTAATATACGGAGGGGGAAAGGGATTGTTAGTAATGGAGACTGATAATCCCATTGCTAGCAATATACCCAACCAGGTCGACCTCCTCGCGGTTCCTTCTGGAAACTATCATGATTAATTCCTGATGAATTCATCATGATGGGCTAACTGGCCTGTTTTCATTCTCATCGATCACCCTTCACTGGTGCTCCGCCAGCGTATCCCGTTAGCGCAGGCGGGGTTACCATTCCATTTTCATCCAATAAAAAAAAATAACATACACACGACCCTATGTATTTCAGACGTTATATTATTATATATTGGAGGACTGTTGTTGTATAATCCAAGTATTCATACCTGCACTGAACAATGGTGTGAAGCAAACGATTTTATGAACGAACTTTACACTGGAACTAAACGATCTTGATCATTTACTTAATCGTAATATTTATTAATTTTCTCATTAATTGTAATGTAACAAGTTTTTGCCCGTGACTACGTCCGCATGGACGGGATAAAAATTTAATTAAATATCATCCCGTATAACATTTTTATACCAAAATCCATAGTGATGGTTAAATAGTTAAGCCGCTACCTTTGATATTTATAATACTAGTAAAGATGTAGTTATAATTTAAAAAAAATATATTAAATTCATCATAAATATAAATATGAATAAATAAATAAATAGATTAATTTGAATTGGATTTATTTGAAAAACATTATCATAAAGAAAATTCACAATAAACAGTAACCAATTATCTATTCAATTAAATTTTATTTTATTTGTCGGCTGTGGAATGAGTCCCTACCGAGAAACTATAGTATGGGGTTTTTCAAAAACGGTGTATTGAAATTTTTTCAGTGTAGACAACGAGCACGTGACATCTTAGTTCTGCGTCTATAGGCTACAATAACCAATTACCATCAGACGGTCTATATGCTTATTAGTCACATTCATGTTATAAAAAAAAAAAAACAAAAAACAAACAATAAATTCAAGGATCAACTCATGTTTTTCCCACACACCAATGCACTCAACGGCTTGCTTATAACGAAGTGGGGGTTAATGCAGCGTATCAGTTACTGCAGCTCGAGAGCGAAACGACTGCGGTTATTCAGTTACAGTGAACAATGTTTACCGATATAAATAAATATGCATACCTTTTGTAAGTAACAATTTCAATGTAATAATATTTGTTTACTGTGGTCCCGGCATAGAATGGACCACGCATTCCTTTTCCGTGGTTTTTTTTTGTTGGATGAAAATGGTATAATAACCTCGCCCGCGCTAACGGGATACTCTAGCGGAGCACCAGTGAAGGGTGATAGATGAGAATGAAAACAGGCCAGTTAGCTCATCATGATGAATTCATCATGAAAAATTAATCATGACAGTTTCCAAGGCGAACCGCGTGGAGGTCGACCTGGTTGGGTATATTGCTAGCAATGGGATTTTTAGTCTCCAATACTAACAATCCCTTCCCACCCCCCTTTTCCGTGGATTTTTTATGGGTGAAAATGGCATGGTAATCGCCACCCGCGCTATCAGTATACACTGGCGGGGTACCAGTGAGAGGTGATAGGTGAAGATGAAAAAGCAGGTCAGTCAGCCCATTGTGACGAATTTGATGATAAATTAGTCACAATAGTTTCCAGGGGGAACCGCGTGAAGGTCGACCTGATAGGATATGTTGATAGCAATGGGGACTAACTCCCCCATTAGTAACAATCCCTTTCTCCCCTTTGCCGTAGGCGTCGTAAGAGGCGACTAAAGGATCTTAATAATAGAAAGAAAGAAAGAAATTTTATTTTACAAAAATATACGACTAGACCTACATAGGGGTCAAAAATTATTAAAAATTATAATGATAGAGGGATGGGCAGCATTGTCCCTTTTAATACGTCTCTAAAAGCCTAACTGCGGTTGCCAACCCGCCTGCCAAGCGTGGCAACTACTACCAAAATTCTCCTTATGGGGAAGGCTTATGTTTGCCCACTGTTGGAGTGGGCAATTAGCGGCTGAAATGATGTATACCTATTTAATATTAATTTCATTTAATGCATCTAACTTGTCAGCGGTTTTATCAACAGACATCAAAAACAAGGACATTCTCAATTCGGTTGTATTTTGTTTTTATGTTTGTTACCTCATAACTCCGTCAATTGTAAACCGATTTGGACAATTCTTTTTTGTATCTACGCAAAATTGAGCAAACATGCTAGAAGCGCTACGCAAGGTAGCCCCAACAGCACTCTAAAACTATAATATACTGGATTTGTAGGGCATAGTGAGGCATGTGTGCAGTTGATCCACAGGCCGCTCGTGTAGAATGTTTATATATATATATATATATTCTACACGATATTTATATTATATATTGTTTTTGTCATAATTAAAGTCTGCTTTTTTGTCCGTCAGCTTGTTTAACATTCGATATTGCTATAAAAAAAATTGTCACCGTGTGATTAATATGCCTATAAATACGTTTTCGCCGGCACGTGTATATGCGTATGCGTTAGAATGAAACAGCGACATTCGACACCCTATAGGTGCACAATAATAAAAACATGTTTACCGACAGATTTATTCGCCACTTGTCCAGAATTTTTTCGTATTTTCTATATTTTAATAAATTATTCACAGAATAAACTAATATATTTTTTATATTACAGATTCGTCATCCTTGTCAAAGGCAATATACAATGGTACGTATGCATTTACACCCTTTGGGTAGCGCCATCTAGCGTTAAGCTTCAAATGTAATTTGTGGACGATAAAGTGACATGTAATAAAGTGATATAAAGTGAAAAGTGATTCGTACGTTTGTATATTAAAAGTATGCATCCACTTTTAATTGACGTATTAAACATAAAAAAAAATCTAATTTAGACTTTTCAGGATGTGTGTGGATCAAATGGATTATCCATTAGATATGCATACAGACAAGCATAAAGACAAAAATTCTATAAAATATTATTTTGGTAAGCTCTTATTCGGGCCGCCTGTTTTTTTACCATCTGATAGAAAATACATACCTGAAAAATAGTACCATGATTCATACTTCTAATGAAATATATGTGACAAATGAATGGTCATGCATGAAGAGTATCATGAGCGACACCATGGGTTACGGAACTCAGTCTAAATATTTTTTATACAACTTAGAATAGTTGAATGCCATATTCAGCTTGAATTATTAAATTCAGTGTTACAGTTTGAAGGGTAGGATATGGCGTAAATTTACAGGGTACAGAGGAATAACACCTGAATCCTCAGGAATGGCAACGCATGGGGGTATCATAGGTGCAACAGTATACTCTGGTACTGCTCATGTCTATAAGCGACGATTACCACTTTCCATCAGGTGGGCCGTCAGCTGGTTTTCCATTCTAAGTTGTTTAGAAAAAAAGTTTTCCTATCTGTTTCCAGTCCAATCGACAAGGCAGAAGATGCCAAGGTGGCCTACAAATCAGGCGAAATACCGGACCAGAGTCCTTTGATAACTATAGACACAATTAAGGACAAATTGAAAGAGAAAGGTATATTCGACTTTCAAGATCAAAGCATTAATGAGCGCGAGAAAAAGGAACTTAACAAGTTATTCAACGCTATCGAGATTATGGTGAGTTGATGAGGTATTCAGCGAAAACTGTATTTACAATTACGCACGCACGCCCTCACGCACGAATGCACGCATGCACGCACGCACGCACGCAGGCATGCACGCACGCACGCACACACGTATACGGAGTAGTACACGCATATAGCTCCTACTGAGTCCGAAATTAGTCAAGCATCCCTGAATTTAAAACGTGAATAAAGCCTACTCAAAAAATTTTATATTATATTATAATATATATATATATATATATATATATATATATATATATATATATATATATATTAATTTCAGACAACATCCCGTAACCGACAGCCATCTAACGCTCAAAACATATTCTCGTCACTGCGCGTAGTCGAGAGAGCTGTGAAGAAACAATTCAAGGAGGGGCAGATATCGGAGAGTTTAGCTTCCAAATTCAAATGGGAGAAACTGTTAGTATATCCTATTTTTAACCGACAATAAACGGAAGAGGTTCTCAAGTTAATCCATGTATTTTATTATTAATATTAACAAGTGCCTCTAATGAGAAAGGATTCAAAATATTAAAAAAAAAATGCTGCCTTTCAAGAGAGACAAACTATTTATATTTCATTATCGCCATATCGGATGTGAACCATCCACTGCTAAACATAGGCCTCCCCCATAAAGGGTGATTTACCAGTAGTTGTTGTCACGCTTGGCAGGCTGGTTGGCAACCACGGTTAGGTTTTGATGAGGTTTTGAGAGGGACGTTACTGCCCATTCCTCCAAAAAAAAATAGTTAATATTAATAATTCTTTCTTTTCTCAGTGTCCTCTACCCAAAGGTTGTCTGGAAGAGATTGCTTGGCGATAAGGCCGCCTTTTGTATCACTTCTCATTAAAATTAAATGTATTTACTATTTTATAAATGGTGCAATAAAGTATAAAATAAATAAATAATATTTGGGGTTAAACGATTTGTAACTTTTGAATACTATCCGTGTTTCTACCGTGAAGCAGTTGTGTTTGCATGGCTGTGTTTCGGTTTGAAGGGTAGGATATGGCGTGAATTTACAGGGTACAGAGGATAAACACCTGAGTCCTCAGGAATGGCAACGCATGGGAGGTATCATGGGCGAAACAGTATACTCTGTTATGTCCATGATACTGCTCATGTCTAAAGGCGATGGTTACCACTTTCCATCAGGTGGGCCGTCAGCTTGTTTGCAATTCTAAGTTGTATAAAAAAAAAGAATTCTTATAATTAGATGTCAGTCCTTTGTAAAGAAAGTATTTAGATAAATGTAGCTTTAATTAAATTTTTAATTTCCAGGTCATCTCGCCAGAAGCGTGAGAAATCTCATTACCATTTGGACAAAAGAACCAATATGAGAATATTTGATACCGAACAATATTAGTTCGTATTACGTAGGTCGCACGATACATTTTTCTATCTAAAGCAAAATGGAATAAACCAATATATACTTAATTTAAATATATTTTGGAAATACACGATTTATTTTATTTGTCTTGTAAATCTGTTTATTCTTCCCATGTTGTTCACTTGAGTCAACTAATTTGACCTAAATATAAATATTTACCAGAGGGAGACTTTGTACAAAAGTCGTTTGCTTGGGCACATCTGTCCCATTCGTGTTTCTACTGTGAAGCAGTTGTTTACATAGTTGTTTCGGTTTGAAGTCCTCAGGAATAGCAATGCCTTGGAGGGTATTGTGATGGTCCCCCCCCTATCTGCCCTTTGTACCCCTTCATATAATAACTACCCTCTAAACTAACCTACACATGGAAAACCTACAAAGCCTAAGAAAAGCCTACGAAGGCTTTTCCTAATGAAATCTATGAAAATCTAATGAAAACCTACCCTAAAGAATGGCCTAACACCCTCAATATAACCCCATACCTATATTATCTTATACACCCCAAACAACCTATGAATCATATAAACCCTTACAATAAACACTTAATATTAAACAGATCTTATAGTAGAACACTTGATCATTTGGCCAGATAAATAAATGTGTGATCGTCTAGTAATGTAGGACCCGTTGTGTGTGTAATAACCAAAAGGTTCTTTAATTGGTATATGACAGGAGTTAAATTATGAAGATGATTGATAAATTTTTAAGGATTAAGAATAATTAATGAATTATACTCATAATTCATGTAACTAGGAAGTTATGTTAATTTAATAGTAAATTACAGAACAACTGTAATAATAAAAAAAATGGGGGAGCGGTCGGGCCCCTCACACGCCCGGACCAGTGGAAGACTTTCCAACTATCTATAACTCTTCCTCCTAAAAGGTAGGGAAGGGTATTACTATTTATTAATGCACTCTGATGGTAATAAGGGCATGAGTATTCTCAGTTCCAAACCAAACATAAGTACATTTACTTCAACATTACAGTGGCTCCACCAGCCCCACGATGCTTCCAGTATAAATTGGAGTTTGCCAGAGGCAAAAGGATCGGAACTGAAATCCCAGGATCACTCCGACACGAGAGCTTACTCATGGGCGATGACCCTTTCAGTCCTATATGGCGACATAGAGATCACCCACTAACAGTACGAAACTGTTTCCCAGCGTCACCCTGTTACGAGCTTACTCAATGGGGGTTTCCCTTCGGCTCCACAAGAGATCAGACCAAGAAGCGAGATCACCCAGACACCAGAACCTACTTTGTTGGGACATAACCCTTCGGCCCTATAATGTGACATTAGAGATCACCTGTGAAGACAGTCCGATAGAGATGAAGATTTGTGTGATAGGGGATACCTTCCACACCCTGGAATTGGCCAAGCCATATAATGTTGATAATTGCTATATCATAACATAGCATTGTCAATTTAATATTATTTACTTAATACCAAGAATACTCAAGGTTCAAGTTAAATCTGTTGATTAGGCCGGAGCCTAAGAACGAGTAGTCCAACCCATAGGTCGAGAGCTACTAAAAGTAATGAGTGCTATTGAATGAACTATAAGTCCAGTCAATTATATATAATATTATTGTTCATTAACCACATTGTGAATTAACCAATTATTTATTCAGAGAGATATATCTAAAGGAACTATAAGTCCTTTAAAAGACACTGATTAATCACAAGTTAACAACGTCTCGTGAAATAACCAGTTGGGTTTTCTATAAGTTTGAGGACACTAAGTCCAACAAGCTATTATTGTGTTGAGAGTAATAGAGATCTTTTGTAATATTTGTAGAGGTTTGATTAATCACATTGTGAAATAATCAGATTAAATAATTATGTAGCTTTATAGAGAGGACTATAAGTCCTAATTGGTTGTTGTCATAAGTACTGATAAATTACACATTAAAGTGCCAGGTCAATTATTATATATAGGTATATATAGAAGGACAATAAGTCCTATTTGTGTATGTTGTAGTAGTAGAGGCAATATATTGCATAATTATAATGTGAAAAATATAGATTAAATATATATTTGTATAGAAAGGACAGTAAGTCCCATACAATTATTGTAGCTGTACTATAGTTATACTATATCTACTTCCTTTTAGTGTCTTAGTAAACCTATTTACTAAGAGGATTTCTCAGATAAACAAGTGTTTTAGTAGTGTTTAAATCATCATGATTAAATCCCTAAGAAATTAGGTCTTTAAATAATTATCATATCATTTAAGTGAAATTTCTCATATAAATATTCCAATATTTCCCCTACAGTTATTATAAAATAACTGAAAATTATATAAATTTTCTATAGACTTAGCTATAGAATCATAACGTGTATAATCTCCTTTTGTTTGACATCTGTCACATTAATGACGTATTGAATGACGTATTGATGTATTGAATTGAATTTTGATTATCTATCACAACTGTCAACGTAACAAATACTAGCAAGTTTGTTTATTTGTATTTGTTTAATATAATTAATATAAAATCATCATATATCAACCGTAATATACAACTAAATTATCAGTGACATAAATAATCATGGTTTACACCAGAAATAATTAATAGTATCCAGTAATGCTGCAGTTTATATTCATATCAGTAAGCCAAGCTTACTTTCAAATTCAAGAATGAACAGAAGATTAGAAGTTTAACATTCTTATTGCAATTGTACTTGCAATAATATATACATACAGTACTAATTATCAAGAACATTCCTCAAATACATGTGTGGTGAAGATTTTCCTAATATGCTATCTATTTGATTTCTAACCTCTAATGTAAATTTATTAAAGAAGTGAATAATCAGTGTTAGTGTTTGCTTTATTAATATTTAAAGTAATTGTCCTAACTTGATATTAATAGGTTCATATCTCTTTGGATACAGCCAACATATACAACTAACTCGATAATGAAATTTATAAAATACTAATATTATATTTTACTACTTGTATATCTCCATTCTATTCCCATAAATATTCAAAATATGTATATTAAATATAAATCCAATAAAGTTTCACTAATATTAACCCTGTCTGAACTTGTCTAATCAATATAGCATGAACAAACAACACACATACAAACCTTATCGCCATGACAACTTTCTTCCTAAATATGAGTAAAATAATATAATAAATAATAACTAATAACTCACACTTGTCATTTAATACTAATTTTATACTGTACCTCATACCTAGTTAAGAGTAACTATAGTCAGAGAATCCTTTAGTACATTTATTACCATTAGGAAATACATCCACACCTATAATATCAGCATAATTAAATATTATTAATAATCAGTATTACACACAGAATTGTTATTATCAGCTTGCTTACTACAACAAAATCAATATTAAAGTTTATAATAAATCAAGACAAAATATCTATTTAAACAATACAGGCTTGTTTACCATAAACACCCCACAGTCACATGAATTTATCTAGTAACACAATTAATAATGTATTAAAAGTATTACATTCACATAATATCACTTGCAACAGTTAAGCTGTCTCTTTGTACATCTGGTGTAAAACAAATCCCCACATGTAGTCATGGATAATCAAATATAGACTAAGAATCATTAATCTGGTCGACCGAGTAATGGTATAAAAACACTTCACCATGAAGCGTTAAGTATGAACAGATATTCCAAACCAACACTGTAATAGTGTAATAAATACAAATATTTCATCATCATCATCGTCTCAACCATCACCAACCCACGACTGAACACAGGCAATTTCCCACAGACTGACACAAGGAACGGCCCCACAATACACATAAAACAGTCACTCCAAACAATGGAGGTAGCCCACACCGCATTTGCATTTACAGAGTCGTCACTCAACAACCCCTCTCTCTCATCAATGGTTGTTTCCCTAGCAATGAGACCAGACCATAGTCACTTTAGTCTATTATCCTCAATAAATAAATACTTTATAATAACTAGATATGAAACTAGTTAGTATTATAATAGTTTAATAGCTGATTTAATAAGTATTTTTCAAAACTGGACAATTAGAACATTGAATCAAATTGATGAAGTTCTATCAAACGACCATATAATTGGATTTTGTATATGAGTAGAATAACGTAAGTACGTAAATTATAATGATGTAAAATTTGTTCAAATGTGATTGCATTTAACGATATACGCATTACCTAAAGGTATACGGACTCGACCAAATACGTATTTCAATAGTTGTTGAGAAAAATATTAAGTATAGACTTTGCCTGCGATCACAGTCAAAAATCTAACTACGTAGTAATAAATGGAACAAGCTCACCGGATTCTCCAGTCTTCTATTCATTAATTTCACACACTTAATCGATAGTGATACACTAAGATTTCAAACCCCTTCATCGATCCAGTCCCTCCTAGATCTATCCCAGTTACTTTCTTATTTTATTGCGCAGTTCCTTAAAACACCACTCCCGCGCCATTTGCCGCCCTTTTTTTCTTTTTTTTTTTTCTCACCTAGTAACGTCATAGATTATGTCACCGAAGGGTAGATATTTCAATAATCGGATTTAGCCTATTATTCGAACTGAACTTTTCTTTAAATTCAATTTAATTATATGTTAACGTATTTTGGTATTTTCTATTAAATTGATTATAGAATTTATAAAACTTTAAAGACTCTCATAAACCTTATTAAACTATGTTGTATGTATCTTTTACACCTGATGATAAAAAGGTAAACTATAATTTGGTTATATATAAAATATAATATATTTTTGTTTAATTTATTTAATTTTCTTGTGACATCCACTACACTTTGGAAACACATCAAAGGAGTTTCCCTTCTGTGTCAATATTTCATATATGGTAACGTCTTCTCTGTATACTATTGTGAACCTTGACTTTAAAGTTTGTTTATATTAAATAGCTCAGCTTTCGCAGCGGTCACCCATAGGAACCCCTGTTTCTTTTCTATGTACTTATGGTATTAAACCTATTGTACTATAGGCGAACCGTCACATCCGGCCCCCTAATTATCAAGGAGTTTACCGGATTGATAATTACAACAAGATAAGTTTATTGTTACAATTTTTTTCCAACCCTAAAAAT